GCGGGGGAAATATTTCAACTCGGAGGAAAGTTAGCACGTACAGTATTTCCCTATCGGTTTCCGGCAGCGATCTGCCCTGCCGTGGAGTGTAGTTTACAGGAACTCTGGCTATTTCATATAAAACTAAGTCACCAGCTAAATTATTACAGGTAGTGACTGTGCAAATTGTACAACTATTCACGGTCATCCTGAGTTTTTTGCTATACTCTACAGGTTTCCCTCGCTTTACGGCAGTTCCGTTTGTGTAATTTCGCATGCACGCAGCTGAATTAACTTGTATGCGGCTATATGGTCGGATATGGGACACCATTGTGTGTTGGGTGACTGTATGCTCAGTGCTACGTACTATGCTGCTACCACTCAGTCGCATGTTCTCTCGTGCTGCCTGCATAAACGTTACTTGTTGTCTTTGTTGTGGCACATATAATCTGCCATTTAACCGTGCTTGTTATGGCTGCTTAAACGTCCTATTAGCCCTCTCCCTGGACCATCGATGAGGCAGAAAAGGACTGCCTCACGCTTGAAGTAAAGTTGGAGATTGTAGTAGAGCGTGCAGGAGGTGACGAGGGGCCGGCTGCGCCCGATATTGCGTATTAACCTTGGCGAGTCGACGGTACGCGCCGGCAAAAACAACACGGGCAAAATCTGGAGTTCTGCGATGCATTCTACGCCGCTGTCTAGCAAAAGGCGACAACAAAAGTGAGGCGTCTGTCGTTCGAGAAGATGGAGTTGATGTCGGGGCGATGGATGGAAGACCATAAGCAGTAGAAATGGATCTCTCCTCTTCCGCAATCTGAGCCAAAGCTACGAAGCTGTACGAACGCCTGCAGCAAGAGAGGTGGCTCTGAAGAGTCCTTCGTGGCTGGTAAGGGCTGGTTCTACAATTTTAGTGATCGTCAAAATTTGCACAATTTGCAAGGCCACTGGGGAATCTGCAAGTGCAAATCGTGGAGCTGCTGCTCCATTTTCGGAGGAGCTGCAAGCCATAACTGTTGAAGATTGCATTGCAAAACGAGTCTTTAATGTGTACGAAATCAAGCTTTTCTTTAAGCGTACGCCATCTAGGACCTATAGTCTTGGTTCTTTCGGTAAAGTCACGTAGAAGGGAAATAATAAAATAAAAGAAATTTAAAACAAGATTTTTTATATCTTTTTTTATTATTTCCCTTCTACGTGACTTTACCGAAAGAACCAAGAATATGAATCCCTGCAGTCACGAAAGCTTTAAATAAAAATCTAGGACCTACTTAAATAAAGAAGAGAAAGGTGCACCCGGTTTGAAAGGTGCGACGAGACAGGATGACTCCCCTATTATGCAGTACTTCACCCATTCTGGAGTTTGCAGTTCGTCTCTACAGTGAACCGATTCGCACAGTTGGCTACGTACGGTGCAAAATAAGTTCAGCATGCTTACATACGTACCTACATAGAGTTTGACGGGGCAGTCACCTTGACACTGCCCGCCATGTTCCGTGTCGGCTGAGGCAGGCGCCCACTATCGAGAGACGCCGAGAGTCTCTCCGAAGCAGCACTCGAGCAACCCATCGACTTTCGGAGGCCACGCCACTGGCCTATAGGCCGTCGGGAGAGTCCGCGAGATGCCCTTCCAGCAGCAGCTCTTTTCGTTTCAGACCCTTGAAGACATCTGGAGCCCTTTGGGAGAGGGGGCGGGGGGCACCTGCTGGTTTTGGACAAACTACCTGAATCCTGTAGACCTCCTTTGGGTCCGGGCTGAATGGTGGAACTGACGTTTGGAGGGACTTTTGAATTGAAAATGCGACGTCCTTTCTGAACCACTTGGAACGAGACACGCCGGGTTTTGCCGATGCTCTCAACTCTGTGTTATTGGCGCGTTTCGAGTTTGTGTCAGAGGTGGCCGTTGCTTGCGAGAGCTGTTATGGCCTCAAAGTGCACCTGGCCTGACACAGGCGCCGTGGTGATGCCACCGTCACTTAGTGGCGAATGGCGGGTATTGGTATTGGTGGACTGCACGAGAGGGAAATATTTTAGGTTGGAAATGGAGCATCCTTCACAGTAACGTGTGAGAACTCCCGACCTCTTCAAAGACGTCTGGCCAGTGTTGAATAGTAGGACAACTACCCCGAGGGCACTGGTTAAACCAACCGTTTTGAACTCATGCGCTAATAAAATACTTTTCAAAATTAAAGTTATAGTTCTGTACTTAATTGTATCCTCATAAATTTCGATTTAAAGCTTTCGTGACTGCAGGGATTCATCTTCTTGGTTCTTTCGGTAAAGTCACGCAGAATGGAAATAATATATTATATTATTATTATGTTATTATATTATATTATTATGTTTTATTTTTATTATTTTATTATTTCCATTCTACGTGACTTTACCGAAAGAACCAAGAAGATGTATCCTCATAGTGTACCGTTTTAACGCTCTAGCTGGTGGGGGAGATGGGGGTTGGGGGTTAGCGGTGGCTGGGTGGGTGGTGCGAACGTCCGTGAGCGGCTGATAACATGTACTTCCCTTCCTGCCGGTGCTGCCGGCAGCACCGGCGAGGCGATTCCGGTGTGGTGAAGCCTCGAGCTTCCTCCTCGGTCCTCGGTGCCACCAGGTCACATGATGATGATGATGCAGCGTTGATCTGCGTGTTGCTCACACAAACTTATTGCAACTCCGATCTGTTAAATAATGACAAACCCCATGCGCCGCAACAACAAAAAAAGTGCCTGTCAGAAAAACAAGGAACAGTTTCCAGCAATGCATGAACAAAGGGCTCTGCCTTGTTCAGACCACCAGCCCAAAAGGACTGAATGTGTGGCCATATTTGACCCGATTGCATACAACAGAGTTACAAAACACGTCAATTCTCACGCACGCAATCTGACGCGTTTGTACTGCGAGTGTACTCGTCGGGACGAATTGACGAATCTGTACATCGTTACCGAGTTAATGCCAACGTTACACACTTGCCACAACGATCGGAAACGTGCCCGAACAAAGGCGGGGAAGCGGCTCTGCGTTGTCCGATCGAGGGGAAGTTATTTCTTAAGTCGAGCGCAGGGCCGCCGAACTGCGCCCGGCATTTATATGGAACAATTTAGCGGCGAGATTGCACGCAAATCCCAAAAATGTGACCGGAACTTCAACTCGCAAGAAGCTGCGCGCTCTCCCGAGCTCTTGCCAGGTGTTCCCCCCGGAGGCTTTTGTATCCAGCTCACATCGGGAAACGACAGGCTTTTCCCTTGGTTATCACACATAGGTACACAACGAGACGTCGGTGAATTGATTAAAGGCAATTCTTCCGCTCCGTCATACTTGCATTGAACCACGTGCGTGAGTGTGTCGGTTAATTACGATTTACGAAGATTGTTGCGTAAACGAAATCTGCAGGTGCGAGATGAATTGTTGCGTGTGCGCGATTGCAAGGGACATGATGGTTTTTGGGAAGCTTGAATACAGCAGTGGCTAAGATCATAGCTGATGATAACACGACGAAAAGAGCAGACAATACGATATAAGTGAGTTGGAAACAATCCGTGTGAGATGGCAAAATAGAATAGATTCTTGAATGGAGATCCCCAATTGCTGAATTGTAACGTACCTATACAGTATAACAATGTAATTTATTTATTGGATGTTTGCATGTGGGAAGGAAGCATAGAAAAGCCACCACACGTTCGAGGGCATAACACTCGATGGTCCGCACAGACAGGTTTGCTAACCCACTTGCGGTGTACAGCTGCCTTCTGGCCATGCGGCAGCAGCCCAGAGCTGTACATGCGCGCACACACGTGCAAATCTACACGAACCACCAGACCTTGCCTTCCCAAGTGCTGGAGCACAGGTGCTTTAGAATCGGAAACCTTTATCGTGGAGGAATCCGATGAGCTATAAAGCTCTTTTTAGCAGATATCCAGTTGGGGCGGGTCAGAACGTTACAACAACAGACAATACAAAACGCGATAGGAGTGCAAAGTATAGGAAAGGGAAGCTTAATCTCTATAAATGCTTAAATACAACTGAAACTAAACTTTACATTTTACTAAGTAAACCCCACTGAGCTGTTGGCAATTTTTTTGAAACTCGACCTGGCCACAAATGATAGCTCAACGAAGTGGCTTATCATGATGTGAAAATGTAGAGCACTCGAGCAATCCAAATAATGTTCACCGCGGGGCTGAGGAGGAGCACCGGACGGTGAAATCACAACGCCCACACAGCTGCTGCTGCTATTGCGATAGCTAAAACACGAACTGACAATGCGCGTTGTGGGCCCAAGCGACGCCGCTGCCGCCAACGTATCTTCTGTCCGGGCCACGGTTATGCTAATGACGGCTGGGAGGGCACGAGGTTGGTTTTTGCCGATTTGAGAGCCGCTGAGAGCCCTGTGGGTGAAAGCGATTTGAGCGGGTTGGGGGGAGTGGCGACTTCGCCCAGCACCCGCACGCGATCCTGCCAGTCAGGATTAGAATCTAAATGTGTATTTATACTGGAGGAATCCGATGAGCTATAAAGCGCTTTTTCACAGATGGGGCGGGTCAGAACTTTACTGTCCAGCCGGCTGCAACAACTTTCTGGCTCGCATTGCTGCACCGTGCCCGCTTGCTGTTGTACATTTTTATTGGAGCCTTTCTAAAAATACGTATTTGTTTTTTGCGTTTCGATTTACATTACAGTCGTGTTTGAAATGCCATTTGATCTTGTTTGTTCACTTGTAACCAAGCCGTCCCAGTGTGTTTGTGTGATTTATGCGAATAAAGCGGAACTGCGAGTTTGAGTCTGCGACCTAGTACCCCAACTAATTCTAACCATAACATTAACCCCACTCGTTACTTCCTCCTCAATACTCACTCAAAATCAAGCCCGAGTTCCAACCCAAACCATAACCCTCATTCTCGCCTCTTAATCTTCCAGCCCTACCCAAACCACAACCCTCATTCCATCCCCCGAAACTTAACCCCTGACCTTAGCCCCGACTCGAACCCTAACCTCTAATGCTTTCGCCATCTTTTGTCTCCTGGCAGCCGCCTCTGATACAAGCGATATTCAATGGGGACCCCGATGAGGTGCGGGCTCTCATCTACAAGAAGGAAGACGTCAACGCCTTGGTGAGTGTCCCAAATTCTCACGCCCGGCAACGCGTTACAACCATTGATTATTTTCGCCGCCCTCTGGACACCGCTACGGAGCTCCCGGAACAACCTGTGACAGATGGCCTGTCTCATACGTGACGGTTACCCGTCCAAGCACCGTCCAGGCTCTGCCCTGCTCGGCTTCCGAGATCTATGAGATCCAGCGCAATATTGGTGAATTGATCCATAGACTTTGGTTTACAATTGTCAATATTTATTTTCTCGCTCGATTTCACTTTTGTCCGCCTGGCTTTTCTTGCCAAACCAGAAATTCCAGACTAGCCCTCTAGCCCGACTGAGCCGGCGTAGGTGCAGTTAATCTGAGCCCCCAGCCGTATCTGGGGGCCAGGTGGTGGGGGGGGTTGAGACCTCAGATCTTGTGTCTGAACACAGGACCGCATCGGTCAGCAGATGCCTATTACCCACAGTTCCTCCTATTGTGTTCAACCTCTGCTCTCCGACGCGTATTCGGGTTGTACCGCGTGTTGTTTGCCACGATGTTCGTCGTTTCACCTCCCCTTCTGGGAGCTTCTTCGTGAACTGAATTGAGCAATAAGAACACAGTCGGAAATGCAGTTGAGAAAAAATAAACTCCATGGTAAAAGCAACCATGGTGCAATGTGTGTTTAGACAGTGTCCAAATGCAACCGCATCTCAGGAAGCTGCAACCGAGACTGGGCATGTTTATTTTAAAGAGAAAGGCATTCACTTGTAGGGAGTCTCGGTGAAAGAGGAAGGTCTTGAGCCTCGACTTGAAAAGGAGCATTGAGTCGACACTCCAGATGGCTGCAGGGGGGGGTGGGGAGTTCCAGACAATTTGGACAGCAGAGCAGAATGCGCGAATACCTGGCTTGCTGGAGCAGAGAGTGCGTGGAGGAGAGTAGAGTGAGAGGACAGAGCCCGGGAGAGCGTGTGGAGGGGGATTAGAGTGAGGGAAAAGGCTGGGAGAACAGTTCCGATTAGCATTATCGGCTACATACGGTCCGAAAGACGTTTAACATACATACAGAGCGTGTGGAGGGGAGTCGAGTGAGACAGGAGGGCAGAGGCAGGCAGGATCTGTGGAGGATCCTCAAGATGGTGTGATCTTGATATTGGTCCGAAATTAATTTGGGAGCCAGCGGGAGTGATCGGGGTTATTTGGGTGACGTGGTCTACAGCACAGGTGCGGGTGGCTGGTCTGGCAGCGGACAGTTGTATTATCTTGAGTTTTGAGAATGGGGATTTGTGAACAATCACTCTAAAAGAGCCGGCGACGCACCGTTCCTGTATATATACAAAGACTAAGATCCCCTGTATAGCCTTAACAGACTGTTTGGGCAAGTGCTGTTCACGAGCACCTCTGAAAGTCGGCAATGGCACACGAGGGGGTGGGTGGCCAGTACAATTCTCAGCCGCCTTTTTCTCTCCAGTGGCGATGTTTACACACAGTGACTCGTACTCATTGGAGCCTAAGTCCACCTTGGGGAGGCCCACGACTGGTCCAGATGATCATCATTGGTGTTAGCCTTGTGCGGGAATCGAACTCGGGCCGCCGGGTTCATAGCGAAGCGCACTAGCCATTACACTACCGCTCCCCACGATATTCACACTATATACACACACACGTGTGTGGGAAGCCACGCGTTGATTGATGTGGCTTGATCATGTAATTTTTATTATTATGTAACTATGATCGTGTAATTTATTTCAGGACTCGGAGAAAAGGACCCCCCTGCATGCCGCGGCCTTCCTCGGTGACCCCGACATCATCGAGCTCCTTATCCTCTCCGGTGAGCGGGGCGACCCCTGAAGACACCGTGGAGTGTTGGAGAAGATTGACGACAACATTCATCAACATCTGTTGTCTTGTGTTGTCAGTTACTCGTTGATAATCACGTTCCTTCATTTGTAACTCTTTCCAACTAAGGAACACATTCCTGCGGAGGGAGCTGGTAGGAACGTTGAGTTGCTCGGTCAATGCCCAGGGTCAACGGCGGCGTGGTGTATTCCGCAAATATGCCCGACTGTGAGGGCGGGCACAAGCTGGTGTGAGTAGGTTAAACGTTGAGTTTTATAAGGGCACCACGGGGTGACCAGCCCCTCCCCTCTCTGCACGACGGACGGACAGACACAATAATCCCCTGTGGGCTGGTGTAACCAGGAGGTTCCTACCAGTATGACAGCGTTTATCCACCTACTCCGTCTGTCTGGGCCATACATTAAACAGTGGGGCACAGTAACTCTGGTAAAGATGATGCACTAGAGCCCAACTTTCATCTTAAAACTAAACTAAGCTATAAACTATTTTTTATTTTACCAGGTAAGGCCCACTGAGCTATATAGCTCTCTTTCAGAAGAGACCTGACCACAAATGATAGCTCGATCAAGTGGCTTATAATGTGGAAATTTCTATCAACGAAATACTCGAAATGTGGAGGGAAGAAAATGCAAACTCCAAATGTACAACACGCGTCGGGGTCGGGATCGATCCCACGACCTCCTGCGTACCAGGCGAGGTTGTTAACATCTTTTAGCCACCGTGATGATGATGATGATGAGAGGGAGACACGCAAACTCTGAATATACAGAAAGCGTCAGGGTCGGGATCGATCCCGCGACCTCCTGCGTACCAGGCGAGGTTGTTAACATCTTTTAGCCACCGTGATGATGATGATGATGAGAGGGAGACACGCAAACTCTGAATATACAGAAAGCGTCAGGGTCAGGATCGATCCCGCGACCTCCTGCGTACCAGGCGAGGTTGTTAACATCTTTTAGCCACCGTGATGATGATGATGATGAGAGGGAGACACGCAAACTCTGAATATACAGAAAGCGTCAGGGTCGGGATCGAACCCGCGACCTCCTGCATACCAGGCGGGGTTGTTAACATCTCCTAGCCACCGTGGCGCCCCAAAGTTGTGGTGTTATTCGGGATGCAGCCAAGAGGAAACCGACCACACTGATCAGAGCGCTGAAAAGGACAACTTGTGTCAATGAAAATTATTTTTTCCCGTAGCTTCCCAGCGGCATCCACGCTGCTCATACAGTACTTTACGTGTTAGGAAGCGTTACATAATCCATGCGTGTACGCATAACTCTTCCCAACTAATAAAAATGTATAAATGCAACCGCATCTCAAAATAGTGGGGTGACACGAAGTATGTTTCTTTATTTACTGAGGGAATTCTCACCGAGTCTCACGACTCGTTTGTCAGGAGGGGTGCTGCTCAGAAGGGGGGGCGTGGGCAGGAGTAGGCGAGTAATGTTGCAGCAGTTCATAGATTTACGATTTGTGTATCCAGTGTCATGCGTAAGAATCAATCTATTTTGATTTGTACACGATTCGGTGCACTCAACCCCTACAGCCACTCGTGGTCGCTGGGTTCACGCAAGGAATCGATTGTTGAAATGGATCACGACCTCATCCTGACCCTACGCACGACCTTGCAACCATTTCTGCATGCGGCGAAGAATCGATCAACATTAATGTTTACGCACGTGATACGTGCACTTGTGCGTGCATGTGAGAATGGATCGTTTAGGATTCACGGGCTAATGGAACAAACGAGGCAGAACAAATGAGACAGAACATGCCAGACAGTGTAAGCGAGTGGTGGCCCAGGTATTGGTGCTCTGTGCAATGGACCAGGCGACCTGTATTTGTTTACCAACCATCGGCTAACATCCGTAGCGAGTAACATTTGACCAGTCCTGGACTCATCCATAATCACCGACCCACATGGACTAGCAGGCTGAAGTATGGTCAAACAACCCTCAGTGTTGACATGGAATGAGGAGACCTTCATCTAGCAGTGGATTGGCATAGGGCTGTACAAATGAGATATACAAAAGCTCGTTCTAGATTTGAAGTTATCGTGACTGCAAGGATCCATACTCGTGGTTCTTTCGGTAAAGTCACGTAGGTAAAGAAAATAAAAAGATCGAGACTGAGCCACCTCTACGGGGAGGGATTCCACTTAACTGTTAGAGCTTTTAACAGACAACGGGACGAAATCGCAGCTAATCGAATCGCTAACCTTCCTCAAAATTTCTTGCTGTGGTTGTCACACCTGATGATGATTGCTTGTGTTGCAATCGAAACGTCGTGATTTAATTTATTTTATTTTTTTTATCTTTTTTTACATTTTCTTTACCTACCGAAAGAACCAAGAATATTAAAAAAAAAATTCTATTAAATTATGACCATGGTTCGCGAATATTTCTAGAATCGGCACAGGAGTGACTTGTGATATTGCTTGAGTGTTTGGCGTGTTTTAAAAGACAACATATCTGTTCTGTCAACATACCACATGGTAGAAGTAATAGTTTTTCACGCACGACCTAACCGGCGTCGTGCCTCCCGCACGCAACATCTCAAGAATTTCGTGGACATTCTAAGAATCTCTGTGTGGGTGGCGGTGTTGAAACGTCTAAGACTCCTTGATGCTTCTGCCAACCTCACTACTGACATCAGAACAGCGCTACGTGAAACATGTAGGACCAAAAACGCCAAGCATGTGGACACTATTAAAAAAAAAAATACAGTGAATTGGCCGAGAGTGGCGTTGGCTGCACCATCGCCTCGTGCACTGTCCTCTGGCCTTAATAGATGGTCGCTGACCACACCTGGTCCGACAATCCTGTGTCGGCTACACGGGGGAAGATGTGTCACGGGGGAAGATGTGTCACGGGGGAAGATGTGTCACGGGGGAAGATGTGTCACTCGTGAAGCTACCTCTCCTCGGTGAATGTGACGCGACGGCGTCGATCAGTGGCAGCTACCCAAGCATTTGACGTGATGGGTTTGCCCTGTTGATGAATCTCAGATGCCCGAGCAATTGAAAGTGACGTGACGTGTTTTTGCCGCTTTGATCATTCGCAGGTGCCCAATCCCATTTTTAAACGTGAACGCGACGCAATGTGTCGCTTTTTTGATCGATCGCAGCTGCCCGACCGATCAAACGTGACGTTGACGTCTTGTCATGCCGATCATTCGCAGGTGCTCGAGTCAATGCGAAGGACAACAAATGGCTCAACCCCCTGCACCGGGCCTGTGCCTCCCGCAGCGAGGTGAGCTTGCTCGTGTGTGTGTGTTGGTGTTGCTTGCGTGGGTGTGAATGTGCGTGCGTGCAAGCATGGCGTGGTGGTTAGCGCACGGCGCTACGAAACCAGCAACCCGAGTACGATTTCCGCTCATGGCCAATCGCAGTGACTGTTATCTGGGTATTTGGCCTACTCTTCTGCACTGGCCAGACGTCTCAAATGAGGTTGAGAGTTACCCACACTTTATCTCGCCTGCATGCAACCTTGACTGCATATCGGTCCTAACAGTCGCCTAAAATGTTGTCCTTCCCCGGCACCAGATAAGCACGGCTACTTATGTATAGTGCAAAAGAAGTTCAATATACAAACAAGGAGGGGCCGTGAGCCTTTGGTTTCTGGGTTCCCCTGCCTCTCGAACTCGGTCCTGTCTCGGGTCATATCAGGAATGCTGCTGGCACACTCAAAAGTGTTTTAAATTCAATATTAAAGTCACGTTTATTTGAGTTGGCTTATTCTTGAGCAGGGGTGCTGTGCATGACGAGCACCACATTAGAGCCACTCTCTCAGCGGTACCGATGAGAATCGGGCTTCCGTCATTAAACTCTCGCGCCCGGGGGCGAGTGAGCTTGGAGTTGAGGTTTGGCGTCTTTTTAAAATCCAGGGGCCGTGTCAAGATCAACATTGACCCACTCCAAACAGACGGACGCAAACACCGCCCGCTCTTTTGCCTGGACGCCTCCGGGGAAGCAAACGCAGAGATAGATTAAAATGTAAAATAGGACGCGACCGAGCGAGCAAGCGGGCGAGTGAGAAGCACTCGGAACAGACGCCGTCACGGGGCAGCGAACTGGGGTGGCATGCGCCGCGTTCTCAAGCGCGGTATTTAATTCACTGAAGCCGTCTCGCGGGGAAGCTGTCTGGGTGTCGTGGGGCACCGCCGTGGCCAGATGTTATCCAGCACGCCTGGTTTACAGGAGGTCGTGGGTTTGATCCTGACCCTGACGATGCCTGCTGTATATTTGGAGTTTGCAAGTTCTCCCCGTAGTCGTGGATTTTTTTCCCAGGTCCTCCGGTGTTTCCCTCCCACGTGTAGATACATGCGCATAGAGTATTTGGCTGCTATAACATTTTCACTTGATAAGCCACTTCAGTCAGGCCTTGCCTGATAAAATAAAAGGGTTTCTTTATTTGTCTCGCAAAACTGGACTTGGCGTTCTAGAGAGATTCTCCAGGGGGGCCTCGAGTGGAAGCCCTTCCGCCAACAGTGGCGTGAGCAAGCAGTTGCATTTCTGCACCTTTGCTGTTCACCCACTGCATTGGGGTGTTTGGCCAAGCATCCCAATGCAGCATTTTTCATTGCTAACTACCCGGAGAGAACCCATGCAAACTCTTCACGGAGACATTTGAGAAGTCGCCGTACTGAACTGTCATATCCTCAGCACCTCGCAGCCCCAATGGGTTTGGGAGCTTCGCAAAATTTAGCCACACTCTCAATGAGTGGCTACACGTGGAAGGAAACCGGGGAAGCCGGATAACGAAAATACCAAGCAGATAATACGCCTCCTTCACTTATCTGTCCCTCCACATAAAACAATACAGGTTTTTTTTACATATCCCATCAGCTGCACGGCATTCTGGATGTGCTTTGCCTCAACACAAGCAAAAACCCTGAACCAGTTTCAACATTCATTGTCTCGATTTAAAGCATTCGTGACTGCAGGGATTCATCTTCTTGGTTCTTTCGGTAAAGTCACGTAGAATGGAAATAATAAAATAATAATAAATAATTCTCACGACGTTTCGGCCACAACGCAAGCAGCCGTCCTCAGGTGAAGATTCACTGTCTCATCAGCAGATTCGGAGATTGCTCGAACCAATGCTGGTGAGAGCTGCCAGACCTCTGTTCGATATGGGGCCTCATAACGGATAGTATGTGTATGTATGTTGAACCTCTTTCGCACAGTACGTAGCCAACCGTGCCAATCCGGGGTGTAGGGGAAGGACAACAAAATAGTGCGTCGATAAGCGGGAGGAAAATGTTCGGGCCGAAAATTCCGCACGGCCAACTAACGGATGCTCGGTCGCAGGCGGCCGTCCAGATGCTGCTGCGGCACGCGGCGGACGTGAACGCGCGCGACAAGAACTGGCAGACGCCGCTGCACGTCGCCTCCGCCAACCGCGCCATCAAGTGCGCCGACGCGCTCATCCCGCTGCTGAGCAACGTCAACGTGTCGGACAGAGCCGGCCGCACCGCGCTGCACCATGCGGCGTTCAACGGGAACCTGGAGGTCGGCCTCGCGTGCGCTCGCTCGCACGCAACACCACCACCACCTCATACTTGTCAAACCATACGGTTTCCCCGTTTCCTTGTGCAGGGAAATTTAGTTTGCAGGTCCGTACGGCGTACAGCCGTTTCAATACGGACACATTTTTTAAATTCTTTTTTGTTTGTGTTTCTCCCTTGTGATGGGCCTTTGTAGGTTGTAGGTTGAGATTTATAAGTGCACGGGGTGACGAAATAAGGTCTGAATTGGTCTGCAATAAAGTAGGCAATGATGAGGGGTATACCACCAACTCCGCGCTGCCCCCGTGACCTCTGTTCACCATCGTGCCCATTTTGTGTTGCTTTGCCAAAGCCATGCCTTCCTTGTGCCCTCTCTTACCCCTCTTTGCTTTCTGTACCGCCGATTTTCCCCATCGCCAGCTTGCATTGCTCTGTACTAATTGTAACTTCCGTTACATTTCTGCCTTGTCGTGTGCTGTTGTGCGTCACACTCGGACTATTTCAGAGTCTCTATTTATCCTGGAAGAATCCAATGAGCTTTGTGAAGCTCTTTTTCACGGATGTTCCTTTTTGCACCACCTTGCACCTGTGTGTACTTGCCCGCTAATGTCATGCATATTCTTTGTCTCTGCATTCCCCTGCACCGCCCTCTCTTCATCCCTGTCGAATTCTGTGCAGTCTTGTTCAACCACGTATGCAAATCAACCCTTTGCCTCTCTACACCACACAGCACCGTGTTGTACCACCAAGTGACTCCCAGCATCCCTGAAGTACATTTCTGCACCTTTTCTCACCGCCTAGCACCTCTCTGCACTTTCCAGCTCATATTTGTACCTCCCAACGTAGCCCCCAGGTCACGCAGGACAGCGGTGTGCGTGTGTGCGTGCCTGTGTGCCTGTGTGCGAGTGTGTGCGCACACACAAGCGGGGCTTACCGAGGCGTGCACTAACAGCACTGACAGATAAATTAGGAGAGAGCGAGAAAGAGAGAAATAATAAAAACTGAAAAAATGCAATCAATGCGCGTGGCTGTTACGATATCGATCTGGCTCGGGTGTCCGCCGTGAACGTGACCGTGTTGCGCAGCGGCGGCTTTTTTCTCGCGGATTCGAGTTTAGTTTATACGTCAACGCTCGCGACACTTCACGTCGCAGTTGTGACAGCGTTGTGGCGTAAATTGATTGTAATTGACCGGTTGGTGTCTTTCCCTCTGCTGTAGGTGCCTTTTGACATGCGCGCTTCATTACGCAGCGGGTTTTCAATTAAGATGCAAATTTTCCATGGCCCGCTCTTGTGGACTCGTCCGCGATCGGTCGCCATGGTAATGTAGTTGCTGGTTACTGCCGCTGTCTAACCCCCCCCAATGGGGGTGAAGCCCCCCCCCCGCCCCCCAGGGGGCCCACCAGGTTAGCTGGCCAGGTAGATGCCTGTCTGTGAATGTAGGGACAGCCTCGATAATTAATTAGTTGCACGATGGCTATTCGCTCCGTTCTTATAGTCACGGAGGCACCAATTTTCACAGACAAACATAGTTCGCTAGTAGGGAGCGTCATTGTTACGAAGGCTTTACCCATCTAATTTGCAACGTCATTTCTCAAATGTAGCAGATTTTGGAGCGTTGCACCATGCTCGCGTTGACCCCCTCTTTTTGAATCGCGTCACGGAATCTGTGTCGTTCATCACTTTGAAGCAGATGGAACCCTAGTGTTTGTGGTTAATACACCCCGTGGTGTTAACCAGGGTGGCTGCTGGGCTCGAACCTCAAACGAGCAGCAAGCGCTCCACCATGTGATCATGGCACCCACTACCGCCGGATGGACGGCGCTGTTTCCAAACCCATGGGCACTGGAAACATTGAGGTCCTGTTTCATGTGTCGGCAGAAGCTGCTTTTGCAGCTGTCATAGTCGGCCTTGATCTGTCCACTGCTGCAATAAGAACTCCCCAAAGCATCGCCATCTCTCGTGTTCTGGCGTGGGGTTTGCTTTCATTGTAAAAGCAACGATTCATCTTTCTTCTGCACACGTGGTGATTTCATCGCTTCGTAAACCACCGCAAGCCGTCTCGACCTCCATTACTCACAAGCAATCATCTGTCAACTGCTGGATGAAGGCCTTCCCACTCTCTCACCATCTCTAATGCTCTTGCGTGGGTAGTGGTCTCGCAAAACAACGATCCATCAAGCTCCTTTTACACAACCTGCTATTATCGAGCCATCAACCACCACAAGTCATCTCAAACACCGCAAAACTGGCTTTACACGGCCCAGCTGTTGATGGTCTCAAAGTCGAGTCCATTTTTTGCAACATCATCGGTTCCTATTCTCGCCGGAGTTACAGCGACCGCCTTAAGAAGGTCATCTTTGAATGCAAAATCCTTGGAGACTGCGTTGGCATCCGCGTAGAAGGAGAGGCTGAATATAAAAGTTGTCTGGTATTTTTAGACATTTGGAGGTCGGCCAACAAAAATATCAAGTGTTTCCCATTTTCTTAACAGACTCTTGCTTCTTATTTTTCATTCCTTACTTTGACTCGGCCCGTACATGTTGTGCTCGTCTTTTTCATACCGTCAGTTTCCCTGCACCTCCCTGTCCTGCCCTGTACTGCCTTGTTTACTCCCCTGTTGTATCTCCTTGTATTTCCCTGCATCTCCGTAAGCATCCTCTACGGCCATGTATCTCCGAGTATCCTGTGCTGCCTTGTACTATCCAGTATCTTTATCTCCTGTAAACATTCTGTACTGCCCTGCATCTCTGTAAGCATCCTGTACTGCCTTGTATTTCATATACTTAATATATTACCTGTTGTTCCTCCCTGTATCCCCGTCTACTGCACTTGCATCTGTGTCCTGATGCTTTGTCGTGCTACCCTGTGTGTCTCGTACTATATTTGTCGACGCGTCTGTCCCCAAGATGGTGAACTTGCTGATCTCCAAGGGCGCCAACGTGAATGCGATGGACAAGAGGGAGCGGAGAGCTGTGCACTGGGCCGGCTACATGGGTGAGCGGTCGCCCGTGCGGCTGTGCCGTTCGGGTTGCGTTCCTCCTCCTCCGTTAACTGGACGGTACTACCGCCCAGTTGGTCGCCTCCATATCACTCTTGTATTGCGACTGCCACGGTTGCTGTTCCTGTGTAACTTCACTCATTGATTCCTCCACCCATGCGGAGGATTCGGTAGACTGGGACTTGCTGTTGTGCATCTCATCCACCACTCTGTTCAACCGCCAGGTCACAACAACACACTCGCCCACCCACTCAATCGCCCACTAACTCGCTTGTTCATACACTCCCCAACTCGGTACACCACTGGTTGCAACTTTCCTCTCTCAGTTTCTTTCCCTCGTACTACTCGTCTTAGGAATTCCCTCCCAACGTCTCTTTCACCGCATTCTCACGAGTATGCGCAATTAAAACAATCTTAACTCTTATCTATTAAAAAGTGTAAAAGTGATTGGGAGCATTTATGTGTAGTGCTCATCTTCTGATAACAACCATGAGCCAGTGGTGGAAAATCCACATTCCTATGGCAGGGGCGAGTCTATCCATAGGACAACCACTCTTGAGTTTTTTCTATTACACTTTCAGCGGTGCTTTTTGTAGCTGGCAGCTTGGCATGCTGGGTCTTTGGGTCTGTGATCCGCAACCAAAATTTTTAATTTAATTTTTAATTAACAGACAGGCTTCTTTGGAACACGCGACAAAGGCTGCATTGTTCGACTGTGAGAGGGGGGCAGCACTATTTTGGAAAGACAGCTGCGACTGCTTTTGGCCTGTGCCGTTTCTCACATTGCGCGTGCGTCTTGGCGTACATGCTACGTATACACGGTGGACGGAATACAATGCATGCGAGCGGGTGTGAAGCATTCGAGGTTAGTGTTCTTTTGCACATATGCATGGTGAACTTCTTCCGCACCGTACGTAGCCAACCGTGCTTATCGGAGTTGCGGAGAAAGGACAACAAACTAAACACAAATAGGCAGTTCTAAAGAAATTCGTTTTAAATCTATAGAATTGCATAGCTCTAGTGGCTTCCTAGTATGGGAAGGAAGAGCATTCCAGACGGCCGCAGAAGCGCACCTGAAAGTGCTGCAAGGATGACCGGAGTTTGCGCCGTGTGGATCGGTGGCGCCGTGGTTGACTCGCTGCACTGCGAACCCGGCAACCCGAGGTTCGATTCCCACTCATTGCGAACATCAGTGACGAATATCTGCTGAACCCGTTGTGGCCCTCCCTTAGGTCTACTCGGCCTTAATCTAGTACCTGGTGCAGTGTGTAAACAACAGCATTGGGGAGACGAAAGGCAGTCGGGCCTAGTGCTGTCCACACCACCGTGCCGGCCTTCATAGGCACTCCACTAACAGCACTTGCCCCAGCAGTCTGTAGGCTATACTGGGGAGCTTTGTCTTTTCATGGTTTCTAGATTACAGTGTTGCAATGAGCGTGTTGTTTTGGACATTGAGTGGTTCGCTGTTGCACAATCTGCACGAATGCTTGGCTGAACATTGAGGTCTTCATTTCTCCCATCGGTGTCTGGTTAGAGCGCTTTGACCCTCAGTCGTGAAAAGAAAACCTTGGCGGATGCCGCTAGAAAGCTCTTTCTCGTGCCTTTATTTTGGAATCTGCTGCGGTAACCCCGTGACAGCATGACCTCATTCCTTACGTCAGTGCACATAAAATATACACTGATGTGGGTTTCACAATGAATTTTTTTTTCATCTAAGCTGCAAAAGTTTTTGTGGCCATTGAAACGTGGGGGGTAGAGCGATCTCGGTGATGTTTTGAGTGCGCTGAATTTATCGATTTGATGGGTGGCGGCACCGGTTTGCACACTGCTCCGTCATCCCGGCGACCTTAGTTTGAACCCAGACCACGGCTGACATCAGGGGTGAGTGACAGCCGAACTGATAATGGGTGCCCACCTCGCGTGACCAAGCCACACAGACCAAATACGGTGAAGTATGTTCTAACATTCTCCCCCCCTCCATATTTGACGCAGCATGGGGAATCGCCTCGTCCAACATAGGATCGACATCGGGCTGTAAATAAGTATTTTATTCCTGAGATTACAGGCCTGAATCTCATGCCTTTGTAAATGAATGTCAACTTGGTCTTTCGGATATAAGGATAACTTTCCCCATTGCATGAATCTTCTTGGTCATCTCGCAATGCAATTATAATTATTTGTGAAAGTCTTACTGAGGTAGTCAGAGGTAGGTACCTGGAGGAAACTCATGCAAACTCTGGACAAGGATGAATTAAAGAACAAACTTGTGTGCTGCCCCCTCCTGACTACCTGGCAGCAGCCCAGTGGGTATCACAAACCCCTCCGTGCTCCACTAACCTTGCCTCTAGAAAGCCTACACCGAGACCCGTCTATCATATTTCCCCTTCTATGTGTCTATGTATGTTGAACTTCTTTTGCACCGTACTTAGCCAACCGTGCTAACCGGAGGTGTGATTGGCACGTTTGCCTGCTAAACGTTTTTGCATCACAGAAACTAAACGTTTGACTGATTTCATTGACCGGACTAAGAGAATGACTCCAAGGAAATCCAGTGGCTGAGACGAAATTCCACAGCTCGTCGTCGACTGGACTACGACTGCGGCTAAAATAAGAGCTGGCTGACTAAATCAACGGCGGCCTCGCGCGCTCCACAAAAATCCTCCCTCTCAGTCGTGCCGCGCAGAGGTATTTTTTTCCCCCGTGTTTTGGCGTCGACCGGCACCAATGCCGACCGCTGGGTGGTGTTTGTTTTTTTACTCGTTCCAGGCCACACGGAGGTGGTGAAGATGCTGCTGAGCAACGGTGCGGACGTGAACTGGAAGGACAAGAAGGGCTACACCCCACTGCACGCCGCCGCTGCCAGCGGACACGTCACCGTCGTGAGGCTGTTGCTGAGTCTCAAAGCGGAAGTGCGTATCCCTCCGCTGCACGCGCGCCGTGGGTTCGTTAAGGCGCGGATAACGACGTTTTTTTAACCTGTTCATCTGTGCACTTGCAGATGAACGAGTTCAACGGCTTCGGCAACACGGCGCTGCACGTGGCGTGCCACAACGGGCAGGACGCCGTCGTGAGCGAGCTGCTGGGCGCCGGCGCCGACGCCGGCCACCACAACGAGCGGGGCTTCACCGCGCTTCACTTCGCCGCCGCATCCACGCACGGCGCCATCTGCCTGGAGCTGCTGGTCAACCACCACGCGGACGTGAACGCGCAGGCAAGGCGCCGGCGCAGCTCCACGCCACCGATCGCGACACCCTTGCCTGCGATGTCGGCCCGTTGCCTTGAATCTGTCCAAAACTGAACATTTTTTTTATTTTTCCAGGTGAGGCCTGCTACTGAGCTACGTAGCTCTTTTTCAGAAGCGACCTGGATATCGCAAATGATCGCTCGACGAAGCGGCTCATCGTCGTGTGGAATCAGTCTTGGGTCCCGTGGAGTGCGGTGAACGTACGAGTACGCGCACTTGGCGCATGCCAAGTGCGCGTACTCGGTTACCGCGCTGCATTACGTACCTGGTCACCTGAGTTCGATTCCCACACACGGCCAACACCAGTGGCGATTATCTGAACCAGTCCTGGGCTTCCACGAGGTCGACTCGGCCTCAAATGAGTACCTCGCGCAGCCTGTAAAATAATCGCCACTAGGGAGTAAAGGCGGTCGGGCATGGTGTTGGCCACCCATCCCCTCGTGTACCGTGCCGGCCTTCATAGATGCTCGCCAACAGCACTATACGGGCAACCTTTGTATTTGCTTCCTGTGCATGTGTCCTGTAATTGCGTGTTTTGTATGTGATGTGAGCAGTCTTTATGGTCTGTGTGGTCACTGTTTTGTGTATGCGATGTGTGTGTGGTCACTGTTGTATGTGCGTGTGTGTGTGATGCGTGTTGTCACTGTTTGTGTGTGTGTGCTTTGTTCTTTCAGAGCTACGATGGAAAGAGCCCACTGCACATGACCGCAATTCATGGACGATTCACAAGATCACAGACTCTCATTCAGAACGGTGTGTTTATATATAGACCGTGTACTGTATTACAATTTCACGGCATGTAAATCCACACCCGATTTCTCTCGTGTTTACATCGCGTGTCACTCGAGGTGGCTGGGTGGCTCATAGGTCCGAGTACTGAGCCAAACACTGCGGTGCACCTGGGTTCGAGTCTGGGTTGCGGTTCTCAACGGCAGCCAGTCTATGGTCTCAGGCTGCTCGCCAATGACTGCATAAACAAACGACCACGTTTTTTTTATATATATATGGCTCTTTGTTCACACTTGTGCCTAAATTCCGGCGGTGAAGATTCAAAACTTGTTTTTTGATTGTCGTGCGACAAGCGGTTTCACAGTTGGGTGTATGGGAAAATGCACCCTGTGCTGCGTAAAAGGTAAATAAAGTCGACGCATTTGTCAATAACACTGTGGCTTTAAAATAAAATAAATACACGATGTTCTGGGAAAAGGGCCCTTCATCAAAGCACACTTATTAATTTCAGTCTTGATTTGAAGCTTTCGTGACTGCAGGAATCCATACTCTGGTTCTTTCGGTAAAGTCACGTAGATAGAAAAACTAATCAAAAGAAAACACGACGTTTCGGTCGCAACACAAGCGTCCGTCTTCAGCACTTATTATTTTTTTTGTAAATTGTACTTGTGCACCGCTACCAACACAGCATCACCAAAGAAAGGCTAAAAGAGTCCGCTTGAGGCATTTTTAAAGAGAGGTCCTGTGAAAAATCTCTTCTGCGGCCGTTCTCTTGACGCACGGGTCACACTGCTTTGCGAGAGGCTTCCGTATGGGTTCTGGTGCTTGTGAAGCGATGCTGCTCTCACGCGTTGGAGTAACGCTGCTTTTCACGTCTGTGCGTCCGCTGGTCTGCCCGTGTGACCCAGGTGGTGAGATCGACTGCGGGGACAAGGAGGGGAACACGCCGCTGCACATCGCTGCACGCTATGGCCACGAGCTGCTCATCAACACCCTCATCTCCAACGGCGCCGATGCTGCCAGGCCAGTGCCACTTTTAACTTTCCACTTGCACAACCGAGCCGCACCGGGGCCATGCTGAGCAAGCCTGGTGTGGCTCGGTAGGCCACCAGTGTTGTTTTTCCATTGTAGAAGCAGAATCGTGCCAAGGACATCACGCGGCATGAACGAGTCGAGAAGTGTGTAGGGACAAACTGCCCCAAAATGTCAAACAACCAGCTTCACTGTCCATTTTTCGTTTTTCCTTTAAAACTCGCTTGTTTTCCCTCGCTTAAGCAAACTCCTCTTTCCCTTCCCTCCCCCATCCTTAACACTGTCCCCTTTCCCAACTTTCCTACCCATTCACCACACTCACTCATCATTAATCACTTTTTGTTGCTTTCAGCATCGTTTATTTCACACGTCTGCTGTACAAATAGATCATTCTTTGTTCAGCGCCATTGTCAAGGCGTGATATGAATTTAAATACGATGACATCACACGTAATGAAGGTGGCCATTAGCACTGAGCCTGGCCCTGCGTGGCCCCGAGTCGGCTTCAGGCGTCTACGCGAGGCCAGCAGCGCAGCACGGTTTTGATTTCCGGCTCGCCAAACGGCCAGTGGAGAACCACGCGTACGGCGAGTGTCCCGCGCTGACTCGGCTCGGATGTTCTCGCGACCGATGGTTTCATGTCGGCAAGCTGGGGCGTCGCTGTGTGCCTGTCTCCGATTCAAATCCCCCCGGAGATCTCTGTCCACCCGGCAGTTTAAATGGGGGCGGGGGGGGGTCGCACCATGGCCGGTCGCGTGTTGTGCCGTAGAGGGTGGGTACCCGCGCCTCTTCCAAGACGCCAAGACGTTTGCCCCGTGTGGAAGCATCGCCTCTGGACGGGCTCTCGAGAGCTACGACCTCGCGTTGAGGACCTTCTACCAGCAGCAGTGGCGTGAGCAGGAAATTTAGCAGGGCGCTGTGTCTTTTTACCTTTCGTTCAAGTGAAGAGTTATTTTTGAACAAAATAGCAGGATATCCAGAACTTCCTTGCACAAGAGATAATCGTGCAGGGAATCTGACTCGTTTACTTTGGAGAATGATGGTTGGATGCCGAGTGATGTTTTCCTTCCCCGGGGTTGGGTTTTTTGACGAAGTTGATAAAACAATGTTTTTACGAACGAGTAAGGAACATTCTGTTCCACTCACAAAGGACAACCACGAGCACGTTGGTTGTTTTTACCATCCTGTGCAAAATTCAATTTAATAGTGTCATTTGTTCTTTATGCAGTCACAAGGATTTTTCAGGAGGGTTCCAGCATTGGCATGTTTGGCCCAATAGATGATTTCAAGCGGCTTTGTCAGCGTGTAACGGTGCTTGTGGATCAGCGATTTTTACGCATGTTCATCGAACTCCTTTTCCCTGTAACACGGTTCTTCTACTTGGGAATGCTTTTCGCACGACGGGGAATGCGCACACCGTTATCACGCGGTCTCTGAGCGGTCGACGACGAATTACTTTCTTAAGCTGCCGCGGCTGAGCGGTGCGACGCAGTACGCGGAATGATGCAGTAACGCGGTGGCGTAACGTCGTCTCAGTTGGTTGTCCCCGCCACGAGGTGGCTGCAGGTTGAATTTTTACTCTAGTGCAAACGTGATTCAATGCTGTAATTCCCCGCTAAAGGCAGAACTTTTCAGGGAAGCATCTGCCACGTTAAACGAGGGATTACGGTGTCCAGGGAATTTCAAGTAATAGGTTGACGTGTTCCCTGCAGCCACTAGAGGTGCCACATTCAACCAGTGTGCGGGGAAAAAAAGAGATTCTCGAATTGAATTCGTGACCCTGAATCGTAAATTCGACACGGAAGCTTCTGTTACCAATATTATGATTAACATTTGATTTTTATGGTTAGAGAGAAATTTGTTCACTGGACAATATCGTGACTATTTGTCCATTTTGGGAGAGGGGAAAATGATTTCCTGCCGAGTATTTTTAACGTGGCAAGAAACCGCATTACCCAGAGAAATGACGAGGGGCTAACACTTGCACTCTCCGCACAGATGGGTTCTTTTGAGCGCAGTTACTGCCCGGCCACCTCCTGATGACCGCCTTGCATTCTCGCTGACGGGCTTCGTGAATTTCCCGAATCTCTACGTGATCCACCAACCCTTGCCTCCAAACTCGTATGGGCGACGCGCGACACGCGACGGGCGATTGTGGCGTCGGCTTGAATTAACGCTCGCGTCGCTGGGACCGTCCCATTGGGCATCACAACTGGACATCGCCTTCGTGCTGTTAGTTGTTCTCTGGTCTAACACCGGTGGTGAGACAATGCCACAAAGAAGGCCGTCTCTGGTGTAGGCCAAACAAAGCCAATGCATATATCATCGGAGCACTTCTTTGCCACAAGTACGGGTGGTTTATGATGAAGACATCATATTTGGTGTTGAATATCTGAACACCGGTTTATTGCCAGAAAGGGTAAAACCTCTACGATATATATTATTTTCATCTTGCCAATGTTGATCTTCCCTCCCCCTCCGTGCCGGAGCGCAGGAGGGGCAGCCACGGGATGTTTCCGCTGCACCTGGCGGCGCTGAGCGGTTTCTCCGACTGCTGCCGCAAGCTCCTCACGCCGGGTGAGTGCTCTCCACTCGCTCGTGGCGGGGGAGGGATGGGGAGTGGGGGAGCGAGGGGTGCTCCTCACTTTAACGCAAGGGTGGGGGAAGGTTTCCTTGTCGAGCGCTGGTTGGTGGTGCTGCTGATGGCAGGGCCTCTGGTGGAGAGGGAGTTGCATAGAGCATCGTTAGAGGGTTTGAGTTTAATTTGTTGAACAAGATGAGAACTCAAGAGGCCAGGATAGTAAAACAATTTGCAAGAGGGACCCAGGCCACCAAAGACACGAGGCAAAATAAATAAAATGAAGTACAGCAGCGGAGTGTAATGGTGTGATGTGCCCATTGATCTTGGTGGGTGAACAGAGGTGTGTGGTGGGGGTGGATTGCAGAGGTCAAGCAACAGATTAATTTAACGTGAATTTCACGCCCCAACATATTGGTGTCCGCACCACGGCGGTGTCTACACCATGGCATTGTCTGCACTCTGCCAGATTTCTAATGATAGTGATAGTAGTTTGATACATTTAGTATTCACGCCGTTCTGTTGGAGCAAAGCTATGAGCTTGTGGAGCCTGCCGGCCGTTTCAGTAACTACCTTTTTAGTGGGTCCGCACTTCAGTTAACACGCGAGTCTTCTCAAACCACAGACAGCATGCTAACGCAACTGCCCGCTTCATTCGCCGGCAACATTTCGGAAATTAATTCGGTGACTGCTAAATGCGTCCCCACTGGCTTACTCGGCAACCTCGACATGAACGTATGCGTCCTTGAGTCGCCGCTAATCCATTTTTCTGTCCCAAACCCGGCCCAGGCTTTGACGTGGACGCTGTGGATGAGTTTGGGCGAACCTGTCTTCACGCTGCCGCAGCCGGAGGGTAAAGCACGCAACGCCAAACGGCAATCTGTGATCGATTTCACGATTGCACTCCCCATCCCCAAGATCTTTCACGGACTCGCCTCTACCTACCTCTCACCTCATGCTACTCCCCTCCATGCACTCTCCTGGCACTCACCTCACTCTACTCCCCTGCCTCTCCCCTCTCATCTCATTCTACTCCCCTCCACGCACTCTCCTGGCTCTCCACTCTCATCTCACTCTACTCCCCTCCACGCACTCTCCTACCTCTCCCCTCTCATCTCACTCTACTCTCCTCCACGCACTCTCCTACCTATCCCCTCTCATCTCACTCTACTCCCCTCCACGCACTCTCCTCCCTCTCCCCTCTCATCTCACTCTACTCCCCTCCACTCACTCTCCTACCTCTCACCTCCCATCTCACTCTACTCCCCTCCACGCACTCTCCTACCTCTCCCCTCTCATCTCACTCTACTCCCCTCCACACACTCTCCTGCCTCTCCCCTCTCATCTCACTCCACTCCCCTCCATGCACTCTCCCACCTCTCACCTCTCATCTCACTCTACTCCCCTCCATGCACTCTCCCACCTCTCATCTCACTCTAATCCCCTCCACGCACTCTCCTAACTCTCCCCTCTTATCTCACTCTAATCCCCTCCACGCACTCTTCTACCTCTCATCTCACTCTGCTCCCCTCCATGCACTCCGTTCCAACAACCCAGGTTTATATTTTGCTCCCCTCTCTCTCTCGTGCGCACCTTTGTGCGCATGTGCAGAAACGCCGAGTGCATCAACCTCCTGCTGTCCAGTGGCGCCGACCTGGGCAAGAAGGACCGCTATGGCAGGTACGGCGGTACTGGTGTGTGTGGGTTACCCCCGGGATGCGTGTGTTCGAGAGCCAGTTCTACCTCTCTCCCAGTAAATATGAATATGGTTTAAAAGTGAACGGTAGCGTACGACAACCGTGGGGTGGAGGAACGGCCACGGCCGTCAGCGGTTAGATGGGTTGCACGATGGGGGAGGGCGTGCAGGAGGAGAATCGTAGGGAGGGAGTTGACAACCCAACGGCTTCTGTACTGCCTTCTCCTGGCCACTTTTCACCTCGGCAAGCCCCAGGGAGTTTTGCGCATCCCTGTGGGATCTACCAACCACTGCCGCCAAAGCGCTTGGTCGCGGGTCGCAGGCTCGCGTGCAGCCACTGCCCGCTGTTCTGTGTTAGTGAGCCTCGATTGAGTCTCAAGACTCGGTGTTTCGGAGAGTCCTGCTCCAGATGTTTTTTTAATGCACCTATAACAGGCATCTGTGGGGGAGTCGTGGTCATTAAAAGTGACCATCTGAGTTCGATTCCAACCCTTGGCTAAACATCGGTGGCCGGCGATATCTGAACCGGTCCTGGTTCCTCTGGCTTCACCTACCTGAACTGACCAATGGCTAAACAACATGTCGGGAAGCTTTCATTCAGCAGTGGAATGACGGAAGGCTAAATATATATTTTTTACGCGACGTTGCTATTCGTGTCGCGTCGCCCTCGCACCCCTGATCGGCCGGCGCCCTCCCGCGCCCGTCGTTTCGCCGCAGGACGGCGCTGCACTACGCGGCCGCCAGCTGCCACTACCTGTCGCTGGTGAAGCTGGTGCTGTCGGGGGCGGTGCCCAACGAGCTGGACGCGCGGGGGTGCAGCCCGCTGCACTACACCGCCGGCGCCGACCGAGACGCCAGGTGGGGTGAGACGGCGGTGGGGCGGTGGGGGGGGGGGGGAGCGAGCGCGCGGCTCTCCTGCGGCAGCCGCGTAGCTGCTGTGAGCGACAATTGCACGACGCTCGGGCAAATGAATAAAGCACCGTTAGAGGTTTGCGGCAATCTGGCAGTACTTGCGTATTACTGCCAAATTGGGTAACTCGCTTTTTAAACGTCAGCGTAACATTCGTGCAACGTTCGTACAATAGCCAAGCGACATTCATGCGATGTTTGTGCAATGAACGCTGCTGTAAAGTTCGGGTGCCTCTCTATCAACAGTCGTCAAATAATCGCATAACACCCGCGCAACTCTGTAGCAAGACCAATGCAACAGCAACAGTCGCACACTACTCTCGCGCGCCTTTATCAGCACTCGTTCAACAGTTGCATGCAACACTCGCGCAGCTTTCTTTTAACTCGCAGGCAACGGTGGCATGGCGCTTCAGCGACACCCTCATGTAACGCCCCCGAAAATACTTTGGCAACTCTTATAACTCTCTTGTAATGGCACTCGGCTAGAACTCGCACGCCGCTCCGTTTTAAACGTTTGCGCAAAACGGCTGTGCAGAATTTCACAGGTGCTCGCGTCAACTCCCTCGCTGCATTTGCGTCTCGTGCTCGCCGCCAGTGCGTGAGCGCGCCACCCCACTGGCGCGGTAAAAATGTACCTCGGCGCTGTGCCGCGTGCCCTGTGTGTGCCGTCGAGTGTGTGTCACCCTCTGTATATCGTTCCCCCGTGAAGGAAGAACAATTTGTTGGAAAGTTGTGACGTGGAGGAAGCCGGTAGTTCGCTTGACAAATTGCAGAAGGATGCGCTGATGTAAGTGGTCGTCGCTGTAGGAGGCACCGCCTCTACCTCCCCCATCCCGCGCTGCTTGTCTCTGTGCCGGTGCTGGCTTTGCGGGCTTCCTCCATCCTGTCCCATAATCCTTTGCACTGCTTCCTTGCCGTAGCTGCTCTGGGATTCGGTGCCCTTTTGCTCCTGCGAGGATTTGGAGGGCGGCTTCTGACCCCTCTGTCCTCTGCCCGGGTGATGGGATTTAAATCGAGACGCAAAGTGGGAAAAAACGAGCAAGCAGCTCTCATCTTGCAGCTACACACTTAGGCTGTGTCTTCACAAAGTTTAGTTTCCGAGAAAAAGCTTTGTGCACGCCGTCGTGAACCCAGCGACCTGAGTTCGATTCCTTGCCAGTGGCGAGTGATATCTGAACCTCTCCCTGGGCTTCCTTCCTTCACCGACCAGCACTGACCAGCGTGGTGAAGTACGGTCAAACAATCCTCATGATCGTCACAGCGTTGGGGGAGACCTTCCTTTTAGCGGTGGATCGACAAAGGGATCTAAATGATTATTCGTACTCTTCATATTTAGACGTGAGCTTGAGACCGATTTTTGCTCTTCACAGGTATTTGGAGAGCAGGTGGTAGGGGGGAATATTTAAATTGCTGCCAGTTTAGCCATTATTATTACATCGAAAAATCTGTGAAGGTGCCTCTCGCCCAAACACACGATCCAGCCTGCAGTTGTCCCTCATCGTCAAGACATGGCGTGCGTCCGTCCTTAGAAGTCGAACCTGGGTCCGATTTTCGTTGGTTTTATTTTTTTTTTTATTCATTTTTACCTGCATGGCGTGCTTTGGGGGATAAGCGTTCCAAACACCGACGTCCGTGTTGCTTCCTTGCACAGTCGGCTTTGTGTGTTGTGGACCGGTGTTGTGCACACACACTGCGCTCTTTAAATGTGCACCGGATCATCGCGTGCATTGCATTCTGCGCCGCGTTACCTGCGGTGCGGTGTCGCATGGCGTGCCGTGGAGCTTGGTTTGGGTGTTGTGCGGCGTGGAGTGGCGGTGCATGGTGTGGTCGTGCGTATTGTGCGTGTTATGGAGTATGGCTATGTGTGGTAACACTGGCTGTGTATGGAATTGGGTGGCTGGGTGCGATGTCATGGCATAGCTACGCGTTTCTCTTTGCGTTTCTGTATGGTTATATATCTTGCGTTTCTGTGTGGTTATATACGGCTCTCACTGTGGCTATCTCTGTGGGTGTGGTGTGAATATGTGCGTGGAGTGGTATGAATATGTGCGTGGAGTGGTATGACGGTGTTTGTTGGTGTGCGACTGTAGTTCGGTTTGTTGTGTGGTGGTGCAGCATACGGGATTGGTTAGTGTGGCTGTCTGTTCTGTAGCATGGTACGTGTTGGGTGGCGTAGACATACTTGTGCAGTAGTGCTTGGGGTGTAATGGTGTCGCTATACGTGGTGTAGTGTGGCCAGTTTCTGGGTGCTCCTCGGTGTGGTCACGTGGTGTGTCATGGTTCATGGTGTGGCGTAGCGTGGCGGTGCGAGACGTGACGTGGCTGTTTGTGCTTGGTGTGTTGCACGCAAATGTTTTGCTCTGTTTGCCAGTGTCTGCTGCGCTTGGGGTGGTGTGACAGGGCTTGGTTTGGCATGGTAGTGTTATGCTGTGTGTGGTGGGCTTAGTTTGCAGTGGCGGTGCATGGTGTGTGTTACGTGAGTTTTGCTGTGTGTGTGTGGCAGTGCGGCGGTGTGGGATTGTGTTGATGTGGGCCTCGCCAGGAGTTGACGTGTTCCATATCGGCTGCACAGGTGCCTGGAGCACCTCCTGCAGAACGGAGCGGAGCCGGCGCTGCGCGACAAACAGGGCTACACGGCGGCGCATTACGCCGCAGCCTTCGGGCACCGGCTGTGCCTTGAGCTTGTGAGCCCAGCACCAGCCCCAACAACAACAACGCACACTCATCCCTGCCACTAACCCACAGCACCGTACTCACGAAACGCCAACACTGCTACTACAACAGACTACGACTCTCCCCTCTACCACCAACACCACCGCTCCTCTACCACTCTACCCTCCACCACACCAAATCTCTATCACCGTCACCCTCTATCTCTCCACCCTCTACCACGAATACCACCACCCTATACTGCTCTATCACTAACACCACCCTCTTATCACTGTACGCAATACCACGGACACTACTACCCTCTACTCTCTTATCACCAACACCACCACCCTCTACCCTTCTACCACTAACACCACTCTATGAATCGCGTTATTTATAAATGTGTCGTAACCCTCCACCACCCGACACGGCCAATCAGTAAAAAAGTGTCACGTTGACAAAAGACAAATAGTTCACTGCTTTAGCCCACACATTTATAAATAACGCGATCTAAACCCAAAAACGTTGATTATGAATAATATTGGTCGCGAAAGCCTACGTTTTAAACCACTCTATGAACTCCGCCGTTTTTCACTCCGCTTCTTCACCTTCTGTCTGTCGACCCTCTTCCCCCCCACCCCTGCCCTCGGTGTGCCGACCCGCGCGTTGTCCGTGCCCGCGACTAGTTGCTGGACATGGCGGGAGCGGAGTTGCTTCGCGATCCCGACAGCCGCTCGCTCGTCAGCCCCCTGCACCTGGCCGTGAGTCTTCGCCCCCTCGTTAGCCCACAAGCACCGTAGAATATTGAGTTGAATTTAATGGGAGAGCGCGTGGGGGCTTAACCTACTTCTAATAAATATTCCTCTGCTCTGCGAGAGTTTCCGAAGGGGTAGTCCTTCTTCTTGTGACCTGACACACTTAACACAATCGGGCAAACATTGGGGAAAATAATTACAAAACCAAAAAACTATGAAAAAAAAAACTGCTTCCACCCCCACAAACGACAAAGATCCTCCCTCCTATATAGCCTTCACTGACTTTTGGAACAAGTGTTGTGAGCGAGCACCTATGAAGGCCAGCACGGCACACGAGGAGGTGAGTGACCAGCACCACGCCTGGCTGCCTTTGTCTCCCTAGTGGCGATGTTTACACACCCGCACCAGGTACTCGTTTTAGGCCGAGTCGACCAGGACCGGTTCAGATAATCGTCACCGGTGTTGGCCATGATCGGGATTCGAACTCGAGTTGCCGGCTTCGTAGCGCAGCGCGCCAATCGCTGCGCAACCACTCCTCCCCCCCCCCCACCGCCCACCCGACCGACATTCATACCCGCCGGCGGGCTCCCGGCAGGCCTACCACGGGCACCACCAGGCGCTGGAGGTGCTGCTACGCTTCGTGGGCGAGGCGGATATGCGCGACGGGCACGGCCGCTCGCCCCTCGAGCTGGCGGCGGCACGGGGCCACACGGAATGCGTCGAGACGCTGCTGGCGAACGGGGCCTGCGCCGGCGCCAGCAGCGGCACCGCCGCCAAGCGCTGCCCGCTGCACTCCGCCGGTGAGCGCCGATGCCGTCGCCGGAGCGACACGTGCCAATACACGCTACATACACTTGCGTGCGTGCGTGCACGCGGGTTCTGTGATGCTTCTCGCTGCGCTTGATTTAAGCGGCTGGCAAGACGATGATCTGAGATTACTGGGCAGGTGGTTCGGCACGATCGGAAGGTCGCGAATTCAAATCCTGGTTGGGAGTTGGTTGGTTCGTACCCATCATCGCTTCTGGGGTCGATAAAAATAATATTGCTTTGTGGGGAAGTCAACAGTGGTTGTGCTATGGATAGACTCGCCCCTGCCATAGGGATGTGAAAATTTCCACCACTGGCTCGGGCTTGTGAACAGGAGCTGAGCACTGCTGCGACGCTCGTTTAGCTCCGGGAATCTCATTGCCTTCTGAGCTGCGCAACGAAGTGACGTCATGCGTCACGTGGTCTACAGTGTCGGGAGGTGACGTCACTTAATGACGTCACGCGGAAAAGATCGCCGTATGCCTACCTCTGCAACCTCGGCTGGAACACGTTAAGACTCACGGAACTAACCCTGTGTCCCCCCCCTCCCCCCATTGTGGTGTCACCTGTGCGTAGCATGTAACGGCCACGCCGAGAGCCTCCGAGTTCTGCTCGAGTGTAAGGAGGGGATCGCGGCGGTGGACTCGCAGGACTCCGAGGGGCAGTACGTTCCCGGCACCTACACCGCCACGGCACCTACACCGCCACGGCACCTACACCGCCACGGCACCCACACACAGCATAGACATTGCCATGGTGCAGACACCAAAATGTCGCTGTGTAATATTAATGTCAATAATTGTGCTGCTCCATCTCCCGGCACGAGACTTGAAACGATGGCGGAGATCTTCTCAAAGTCACACCTCCCGCTTTTGTTCACTCGGCAGTATCATTGGGTACAACGCGGCTTGTCGGTCACGTGTGGTGCAGTCAAATGTGGGGTACTCTCGGCTCTTCCAAGACGTCTGGCTCGGGCAGAACGGCCTCTCCTTCTGCTCGAGCTCCCGCCTGCCAACAAGCAATTGCCTGGCGTTCACCGATTGTCAGAATCATAATCTTTATTTATCCTGGAGGAATCCGATGCGCTATGAAGCTCTCTTTCACAGATGTCCGGTATCTCATAGATGTTTGTGGGGTGTCCCCGGTGGCGAGATGTAGGAGGTTGTGGGTTTGATCCCGGTCCCTGACGCCTGCTGTGTATTTGGAGTTTGCATGCGTCTCTCTCCCCATAGTCGCGTGGATTTTTCTCCACGTCCTCCGTTTTTTACCCCTCCATGTTTAGAATCAACATCATGCGTCTAGAGTATTTAGCTGCTCTAAATGTCCACGTGATGAGCCACTTCGTTGAGCTATAAATTGTGGCCCGGTCACTTCTGAGAAAAGCTACGTAAAATGTTTTTTTGTTTGTGCGTACCGACAGGACGCCGCTGATGCTAGCCGTCACCAACGGGCACACGGACTGCGTGCTGCTGCTGATGGACAAGGGCGCCAACCCTGACGCCGTCGACCTCCAGAAACGCACCACTCTGCACCGCGGGGTGAGGCACAGCAGCCAGAGGTCGCAAACGGGTTTTGATTCCTTACCCGTACCCGGCCACACCAGGGTCGCAAACGGCTACCCGTACCCGGCCGGGTAGGGTAGCCGGGTATCGGGTAGGGTACGGGTATAGGGTACCCGATTGCGACCTCTGACGGCAGCCCTGGTGGGGGTGGGGTGTCGCGGCTCTCTCGTCCTTCGCTCTGTGTCGTCGTCATCGTCACGTTCGTAACCGTCGCCGTTGTTGTCATCGTGACCACCGTCGATCGAACGCTTTCCACTGGTTAATGAATAATTTTTCCCCATGCCGTGTGGGTCTTGGGGGTTGTTTGACCATACTTCATCGCGCTGGTCAGTGTGTTTGTTGAAGGGGGGTTGGGCCCCCAGGATCCGGTTATGAAGTTGGTTCAAATCTCCATCGTCAGACGACTCAGACCGGGGGGGGGGGGTGCCTTCTGTGTCAGTATCATCGTCAGTCATGACCTATCCGCTGCTGGATGGAATGCTTTTCCCAGTCTCTCGCGGTCACGTGATGCAGCAATCCACCTAGCGCCTGCAGATGAATCGATTTCATCGCTCCATCTTGGCGGAGACATTTTTTCTCGGGTCATGTTTACTACTTTGCCCGTCACTCGATCACTGGCCATCAACCCCTCTCGCGACCCTGTCCTGCCCCAAGCCCCCACTAACTTATCTTCACGGTCAATGTGCAGACAGTAGCGGCGCAGTGGTAACGCTGGTGCCTCACAGCGAAGAAGGGCCTTGGGTTGTAGATTCCTGACTCGGGCCCCTTTCAGTGTGGAGTTTGTTTTCTCTTCTGTTCTGCATGGGTTCCTCTCCAGGTTCTCCAGTTTGCTTCCACAGCTGTAACTGGTATTGACCAAACATCTGAATGTAAAAAAATTACCTGCTAATCACTCAATTGGGATGACACCCAAAGCAGTAAACATCGCCCCCCCCCCGAATTGCAAAACACTTCCTTAAAGGACTCTTTGTGTAATCGGTGCACAGCGGTGCCCCACAAACATCTGAAATATTGGACATTCATAGCAAAATAATCTCAAAACAATAATAAATGCGGCAACTCCATGCTGTGTATGTATATTAAACTTCTTTCGCACCGTACGTAGCCAACCACGCTAATCGGAGGTGCAGGGGAAGGACACCAAACTAAACTCAAAAAGCGGTTTTGAAGAAATTTCGTTTTCAATCTACATTTGAAAGTGCACATCTCCAGTGGCTTCCTGCGTGGGCCCTGGCAGGCGGCGACGGGCCACGAGGAGTGCGTGGAGGCCGTGCTGCAGCACGAGGCGAGCGTGAGCCTCCGCGACGCGCACGGCCGCACGCCGCTGCACCTGGCGTGCGCCTGCGGCCACGCCGGAGTGCTGGCGCAGCTCCTGCAGGCGCCGCGCGCCTCCCCCGCCGCGCTGCGCAGCGCCGACACGTGGGGCTACACGCCGCTCCACTGGGCCTCGTACCACGGTACGCGGGCGGTGGTGGGTGGGTGGGGGGGGAGGCTTGCTGTGTGGTGATTGTGGGGGGGGAGTGCTGTGTGGTGAGTGGGCAGGGTGGTGCTGTGTGGTGAGTGGGCAGGGTGGTGCTGTGTGGTGAGTGGAGTGCTGTTTGGTGAGTGGTTAGTGAGCGGGCTGCTGTGTGGTGAGTGGGGAGGGCAGTGCTGTGTGGTGAGCGTGGCGTGCTGCGTGGTGAGTGAGTGGAGTGCTGTTTGGTGAGTGGTTAGTGAGCGGGCTGCTGTGTGGTGAGTGGGGAGGGCAGTGCTGTGTGGTGAGCATGGCGTGCTGCGTGGTGAGTGAGTGGAGTGCTGTTTGGTGAGTGGTTGGTGAGCGGGCTGCTGTGTGCTGTGTGGTGAGTGAGTGGGGTGCTGTGTGGTGAACGTGGCATGCTGCGTGGTGAGTGAGTGAGTGGGGTGCTATTTGGCGAGTGGTTAGTGAGCGGGCTGCTGTGTGCTGTGTGGTGAGTGAGTGGGGTGCTGTGTGGTGAGCGTGGCGTGCTGCGTGGTGAGTGAGTGAGTGGGGTGCTATTTGGCGAGTGGTTAGTGAGCGGGCTGCTGTGTGCTGTGTGGTGAGTGAGTGGGGTGCTGTGTGGTGAGCGTGGCGTGCTGCGTGGTGAGTGAGTGAGTGGGGTGCTATTTGGCGAGTGGTTAGTGAGCGGGCTGCTGTGTGCTCTGTGGTGAGTGAGTGGGGTGCTGTGTGTCGTGTCGTGCAGGCCACGAGGCGTGCGTGGAGCTGCTGCTGGAGCAGCTGTGCCAGAAGTTCGAGGGGAACCCCTTCACTCCGTTGCACTGCGCCGTGTGAGTCCTCCTCGCTCGCTCCCACTTTGTCCCATCGCTTCATCTGTACAATTACACCTTTTGATATTTACTGTTACTCTCATTTATAGTTCCGGGAAAAGTTCAGTGAAGCGTCTCGGCTTGTGGTAGCATTTAGATATCGAGTAAAATTAATTTGTATTCTACTGTGCATCGCACACTTTCGGATCTGCTTCTGCGGCCGTCTGGAACGCGCTCTTCAGATATTAGGAAGCCACTGGAGCTATGCACTTTTAAATCATCTCAATTGAAAGCTAATTTTTTTTAAACTCCGTTTTGTATTTAGTTTGTTGTCCTTCCCCCGCACCTCCGATTAGCATGATTTGGCTACTTACGGTGCGAAAGAAGTTCTACATACACTGGCGAGAAGTGCTTCATCCAGCAGTGGATTGACTTGGGTCTGTTGTTGATTTTATTTGATTTGCGTCTTTGTGTCTCCTTGCGCAGAATGAACGATAACGAGAGCTGTGCGGAGATGCTCATTGACACCATGGGAGCCAAGATTGTGATGTGCCAGGACAGCAAGGGGCGGTGCGCGCACTTTGTTTTTCCTGCCCGGCGGGATCGCTCGGCCCGCAGGGCAACTCCACGAACACGTTAACGTCGGTGAATGTCGGAAGCAAATGGACTTCGATTTATGTGAAAATAAGCCGATGGACAAATCGCCAGGAATGCACCAAGTCTTGGATGTCCAACCACCATGCGTCGGCATTCGTTATCGGCTGCCCTGGGGCAACGTGCTGGGCAGCAGAGGCCTAGTGCTGCCCACCACGTGCCCCAACGTGTGCGTGCGGCCTGCTGATCGACTGGCTATATTGTACCCGTTGATACTGCTGGGTGGACAGAGGAGAGGGTGGCGAGGTTGCGGATTTTGAGCAAACTTGCACCGTTGTGTCAACTGCCACGCCGGGACAACGAACTGGCGACGTGTTGATCGCAAGTCCCGTGTGCCAACCATTAAAACAAGGCGGCAGCGTACAATGGAGGGAAAAGAAAAAGCGTTCCAGATGGCCGCAGGAGCACATCCAAAAGCGCGCGATGCGGTGGCAGCCTTTGTTCGATGGCCAGCCAAAAGCATACGTTGCGAAAGAAGTTCAACATGCATGCGTAGAAAGGCTACACAGGAGTGAGGGGGGGAATCTTTGCGTATGTGTTCACGTTGGGTGTGCAGGACGCCGCTGCACGCGGCCGCCTTCGCCGACAACGTGGAGTGTGCGCAGCTGCTGCTGAGCCACGGCGCGCGCGTGGACGCCACGGACCGGCACGGCCGCACGCCGCTCATGACAGGCGCGCTGCAGGGGCAGTCCGGCATCGTGGGTGAGCGCCAATCGTGGGATTGGGTGGACAGGCCCCGAGGGGGGTGGTCACAGGCGCCGATTCGACGCAAAAAAATAAAAAAGATGAGCAACCGAATTTGTCGACAGGAGGTTGAAGCGCGACTGGCCCGTGTGACTCGCAGTTTCGGAGCGCTGAGCCAGCTACCTCGTGAGATCCTGACTTCAAATTCGGGTGTCAACTGAAATAATAATCAGCTCCTGTCTTGTAGCTACACGCCTAGGCGGTGTTCTCCAGGCATTGGGAAGCAGAGGTTGGAGCAACGAGCCATCACCGCTCAAGTAACGAGTTCCAATCCAGGTTTCAATTCACCAGCAATTAAACGAGGTTGCCAGTGTCCGAGAGTTGATGGCTTAACACCCGTTCACTGTTCCATCTTGGTGCATTTCAGATGCATTTTTTTTATTTGGTAGCACCACGGTCACGAGATATTAACTGCCTTGCCTGGTATACAGGAGGTCGTGGGTTCGATCCCGACCCTAACACCTGATTTATATTTGGGGTTTGCATGTTCTCCCCGTGGTCGCGTACATTTTTCTCCACATTTAGAATCGACATCACGCATTTAGAGTATTTGGCTGCGATACATTTCCACATGATAAGCCACTTATAGGGAGCTATTATTTGAGGCCAGGTCGCTTCCGAAAAATAGCTATATAGCTACTTTCGCCGAGAAGACATTGGCACGAGAGCCGACACACATTTTAAACCATTGTGGTTTGACCGTACCGTGGGATGTTTTCACATTTGTATATTGTCGGGGCCACTCTGAAGGCCACCAGGGGCCGCCAGTGGCCTGCGGGCCTTGCAGTGAAGAAAGCTGCTGTAGAAGTAGCTCCGTGTGTATCGCACGTGTGACGCGTTGCCTGTCGTCCCGTGCGCTCGCTGCAGAGTACCTGGTGAACAACACCAAGGGCGATCTCTCTCTCACCGATGATAAAAAGAACACAGCGCTGCACCTCGCCTGCGGGAAGGTGAGTTTCCCATCTGTCCAGCGGCCACGTTGTGTTTTAACAGTAACTCGCAACTTTCTACCCCGCACCTCCGATTAGCACGGTTGGCTACATATGGTGCAAAAGAAGCCCAACATACATACATTCATACCATGGCAGTGGGAATCGCGTTAAGGATATACAGAAGTACCCCGATTTTACGTCTCCCCTTTCTACGTCTTTTCGCAAATGCGTCGTCACTTCATAATTAACACCGCTACCCGATATTAGCGTCGCCTCACAACCCCGAAGCTACGCCGCTGACGGCATCGTCCGTCCTTTCTCGTAATCCGTCGCCTCTCGGCCTTCGCCTCCACCTACCTACCCCCTGTAAATATCTTCGATTTGACGTCGTTTGGATATTCGTCGTCGCAACTTTCAGGAACGCATCCCCCGATTTTGTATAACCGGGTTGTTGCTGTGATGCAAAGCTAAAGGAATGGGACACGGAAGAGAGAAGAGAGTGAACAGGAAATAAGAGGGAAAACTAACAATTTTTATTTTCAACCAAGCCAAACTCTAGCTGCCTTGGTTCTTTCGGTAAAGTCACGTAGAATTGAAATAATAAAATAATAAAAATTAAACATAATCAAATAATATAATAAAATACAATAATATAATAAAAGAATATTATAATTCTCACTTTCTCTTATTTTATTATTTCAATTCTACATGACTTTACCGAAAGAACCAAGAAGATGAATCCCTGCAGTCACGAAAGCTTTAAATCGAAATCTAGCTGCCTTATAATTGTCCAGCCATAGTAGTTGTTTAGCGTTTCACACACTGCTTGCCTGCAACCCACCGGCGAGCATAATAAAAGGTGGCTTAATCCTAGCTTGCTTATCTACTTACGCCATCCACATCACAAAGCTCCAGGCGTAGCCGTAACTGCTGCACAGGTCAAATTTCGATTTAAAGCTTTCGTGACTGCAGGGATTCATCTTCTTGGTTCTTTCGGTAAAGTCACGTAGAAGGGAAGTAATAAAATAATAAAAATAAAACATAATAAAATAATTCTCACGACGTTTCGGCTACAACGCAAGCAGCCGTCTTCAGGTGACTGCAAGGATCCATACGAAAAATAAAATAATTCTCACGACGTTTCGGCCACAATGCAAGCAGCCGACCTCAGGTGAAGAACAGGTCCGACGTGACTTTACCGAAAGAACCAAGAAGATGCTCCACAGGTCGTCACCTCACCAGCTTATACCCCCCCCCACGGCCCATCCTGGCTCCTCCCCCCTCCCCTTAACCAGTATATAAGGTCGTGTATGATAATTGTTTTTTTACCCTTCTATCTGGCAACAAAACTGACACCTTTTTTACAAGGAGTCATGTTTGCATAGACCACAATACCTGCAGCCATAATGCAAACAAAAAACATAACTCTGATAATATATGCACTGTCCTTGAAGTTGATTGGTCCACACCTGAGACGGCTTTCCTTAGAACCCCGAGCTCTCATACTCTGATGGTGCATTGTCTTTGAGTTGTGCGCCTTTTGGCGTCATGTGGTCCAACACCATGTGAGACTAAGGAAAGCTGTCTCGGGTGTGGACCAATCAACTTCAAGGACAATGCATATATTATCAGAGTTATGTTTTTTGTTTGCATTATGGCTGCAGGTATTGTGGTCTATGCAAACATGACTCCTTGTAAAAAAAAGGTGTCAGTTTTGTTGCCAGATAGAAGGGTAAAAAAACAATTATCATATTTTTACTGGCAAATGAGGTTCCAATGGTATAAAGGTCGTGTATCTTAGAGCTCTCTTCACTTGATACAGTAATTTTGCTGTGACTGTTCCACCTGTAGACGGGGGCTTGTGTTGCCTCCGAAACGTCGTGATTTAATTTATTTGTTTTCGTTTTTCTTGTTTAACCTACGTGACTTTACCGAAAAAAACAAAGCGTATGGATCCTTGCATTCACGAAAGCTTCAAATCTAGAATTTTTATTTTACCAGGTAAAGACCATTGAGCAATGTCGCTCTTTTTCAGAAGCGACCTCGCTGTCACAAATGACAGCCGAATGAGAAGTGGCTTATCGTGTGGAATTTACAGCAGCCAATTTCTCTTAAGGATGGAAGGGAATGGAAAAATTAACCCGTAAAAACTAAGTTTTTCACTATAAATCCTTTATATGCGTGGCATCGGTTTTATTTTATTATTCATTTCTGTTTTTCTTGAGTAAGAGTTTCATTTTTATCACATTGGTATTTTTAATTAAATATGAATTTTTTTTTTCCCTAAAAAGTGGAAAATTTTGGAAAAAATTTTTTCACGAAAATAAATTGTCACGCACAACGAGTCTGTGTGCAAAATGTCAGCTCAATTGGATCACGGGAAGTGGGTTAAAAAACGACCGAAAGATTTGCATGGTCGTAAGCGCGCAAGCAAGCAAGTGAACTTAATATAAAGGATTTAAAAATGAGAGCAAAGGGTCAGGAAAAGCTGTGGATGATGGAGGTAGAGGCTACACAAGGGACCTCGACGCTGCTGCTGCGGCGAAACGGGGGGAGGGGTTCAGAGTGGGGTTTGCCACACGGAAGTCACGTGATTTTACGGGAGGCTTGAGCTGATTCAGATGTAGAGATGGCAATCATCGGATTCGTATACGAGATCTTAATACTTGACATCTCCTTTGTATTGTCTGTGTTGTTCATTTAGTTTTCGCGACCAAAATCATCCATAATACAAGTTTTTTTTTTTTGGGTTAGATCACGTAAATATATTAATGTGCCATTAAACCCGCCACCACCCGACCACAGCCAATTGGTAAAGTTTGTCACGTGAACAGAACATGCCAATTCGTTACTAGTACAGTACACCGGTGTGTTGGAGAGCCAAGCCACAAAATTTACAATTTGAGTACGATGTTTCGCCAGTAATTACAACGAGCATCATCAGGCGACAGCCAGATGTGTTCATTCAGTTAGCCTATATACAGTTTTGGCTGGATATAAGAACACCTAGGTCGACTCGGCGTTAATTTAGTACCTGTTGCCGTGTGAACATCAGCACTGGGGAGACGAAGGCAGCCGGGCATGGTGCTTACAACCCACCCCCTCGTCCGCTTCCGGCCTTCATAGGTGGTCGCTAACACCACTTGCTCAAACAGTCTGTCCGAGGTTCAGCGGGGGCTCTTTGTCTTTGTTCACATGTGCCAGGGTCACGAGACGTGCGCTCTCCTCCTGCTGGAGAAGGTGGAGGTCGTTGCTCTCATTGACTGCCCCAACCGCAACCAGCAGACGTGAGTGTGATCACGTGACTCTGGTAGAATGCGCAGTCGCACACGTGCAAAGCGTCGTGTGCTCGAGTGTGTGGTTATGCCTGTGGTTGAGTGTGTGGTTATGCCGGTAGTGTCGCGGTTAGCGCTGCTGCACTACGAAGCCGGAGGCCCGGAGTCTCGGCCTTCAATGAGTACCTGGTGCGACGTGTGGTAAACATCGCCACTAGGGGGGACAAAGGAGGCCGGGCGTGGTGCTGGCCACCCACCCCCTCGTGTGCCATGCCAGCCTTCATAGGTGCTCGCTAACAGCACTTGCCTTAACAGTCGGTTAAAGCTATACAGGGGGGATCTTTGTCTTTGTATTTTTAGTTATGCAACTGTGGTTGGATTTATGCAACTGGTTGAGTGTGGTTATGCCGGTAGTGTAGCCGTTGGCGCCGCTGCACGACGAACCCGGAGATTCAGGTTCGATTCCCGCTCCTGATTATCTGAACCGCTGCTAGGCTTCTCCTAGATCGACTCTAGCGGGTGCCGCGTGGAGTAAACATCGCCACTAAGGGGGACAAAGGCGGCTGGGCATGGTGCTGGCCCACCCACCCCCTCGTGCGTCGAGCGTGTGATTGTGGATGAGCGTGACCCTGTGGCCGTGTGTATATACACCGTCGAGTGTGTGATTATCGCCTCTGCTCGAGTGTCTCGTTGAGAGACTTTGTGTCGTCGTTGAATGTTCGCGACCGCGGTCGTGTCTCCGTGCTTGGGATTTGACGAACGTTCACGCGCCCTAGCTGAGCACGGCGATGGTGGCGGTGGCGATCGAGTGCGGCATTAACCCTCCGCCGTTCCGCACTTAGGCCACTGCACTTGGCTGCGCGCAACGGCCTCTCCACCGTGGTGCAGGACCTTCTGAGCAAGGGGGCCAGCGTGTTGGCTCTCGACGAAAACGGTAAGCGCGCCACTGTGGCGAGATGTTAACTCGCCCGCCTGGTGCACAGGAAGTTGTGGGTTCCGTCCCGACCCCCGACGCCTGCTGTGTATTTGGAGTTTGCGTGTCTCTCTCCCCGTGGTCGTGTGGATTTTTCTCCAGGTCCTCCAGTTTTTCCCTTCACATTTAGAATCGACACGCGTTTTAGAGTGTTTTGGCTGCTGTAATTTGAACGTGATAAGCCACTTTGTTGAGCTATCATTTGTGGCCAGGTCGCTTCTGAAAAAGAGCTACATAGCAACGATCAACTTGCGTGTGTTTGTGTGTTTTGCCTATAACCGCATACGTACGCCCAGCAGTTTAGCACCCGCTTTTGCCGTGCCGAGTTAGTAACAGGTTTTGCGCGCCAGGCTAAATAGAAAGAGAGGAGATGAGAAGGGAGTTTCATTGCGAATGTGCGCACGCGCCGCGCACGCGGGCTGCCGCTGGTACCGTGACCGTGCCGTTCGATTTTCCGCCACGGCGCCGTTTCACTCGCAGCCACCGCGGGTTAACCGGCGCACCGGTCTAACGTCCTCCACGTCGGCGGGGTTGGGGGGCTCACCGTCACGCTTCGCTTGTGCCGTGCTTGTGCGCAGACGCATGCCCCTGTGTGCCGGAGCCTGCACTAACAGAACCCCGCAAGCACCCGGACCTGATGTCGTCGTTTTCAAAACCATTCCACGCTGTAGCCCCGCCCCCCCCCCCCCCCCACTCTCAATTGGGTTTTCAATATTGGTTGAGATTTTCTTGTCCTCTTCCTTGCAAAGACTCGGGCCCCAGTCCACCTCCCCCGCCCCATACTGTCACCGAGCGGTGGCAGTACATGGGAGGTCTCGGTGAAATTCGAAGCCTTGTTCTCGATGAGAGCTTAACCCTATCCGATTGACGTACGTGTACGTCGTAAGTTTTTCTTTCGATTCTGTTCCGATGACGTACACGAACCAAAAGAAAAAATAAATTAACTTCATCCACACCAAGGCTCCTACAAGGCCATCCGGGAGGGCGTGTGGCACAGTTTGTCGCCAGGTATCGTAGAGTGCGGTGGGCGTGTCGCGATGGTTCTCTGCAAAGAGTAACAACGCCTTTTTAAAAATAACGGCGCTGTGCCTCCTAAAAAAAATGAATGCCGACCCGCTTGCACTTTCCGAGATACAGCGGTGTACGGAACCCACCCTGCAACTTGAGGATGTCTCCGATTGGGAAAGCGTTAAGTTGCAATACTATGTTGTTTACGATTCTCTAAACGAGGTGGGGCCGTGGCGCAGTGGTTAGCCTACTGCACTGTAAACCCGGTCATCTGTGTTTGAATTCCAGGCCCGTAGATAAAATTAGCAGCACGCAAAATCCGGATTGGTCCTGGGCACGTGCTGGCCCCCCTCTTCGGCAGTCCAGTGTGTTTTGCGCGAAGAAGTTCTAGTCAAACAACTGTCATGATCGACGCGACACGGAGAGACCTTCGTCCGGCAGTGGATTTACAAAAGGGGCTTCTACGTCCCTTTCAATGGGAACGCAAATCATTACGACGAACGCTAATCCCCCCCCCCCCTTGTTTATCGCAGCACTCCACCTCAATCAATCTGGTCCTCTTTTAGTTTGACAGGGTGCGGAGCCAAAGCGACGTGCCATATCAAATTTTAAAGGGGATTTTGTTCAAACAAAAAATAAACCCCCGATTCATGTTACATGTCTGGAATCAAACCGTCGACCATTAACACGAGCCATCCCCGTAAATAGCAGCGCCCCCCTCCCCCTTGCGTCGTCCACCATGCAATCTGTCAACATTCGGCACAATTCAAAAACCGCCGCCAGACCACGGGGCGTGCTGTGTCGCCGCAAGTCCATCTCCACCCCCCTCCCTCCCTCCCCACCCCTGTGGCTCCTAGCGTGATCTCGGTTACAAACACTTCTCGCTTCCCGTGGTGTGCAACGCTCTCTCAATCGTTCGACGCGACGGTGAACACGCGCCGTTCTGATTGTTTTAACCCCGCGCCTCGACGCGTCTCTTACACCACCTGGGCCTCTGCATGTCTAACTCCTCTAACGCCTGCTTTTGGTGTCTGTGTGTTCCTCTCCCTGTCCCACCCCCCTGCCCCTGTTTGTCTCCCTCTATGCCTCCCGCCAACCCCCCCCCCTTTCCCAATCAACGTGTGTCCGCCTTTGCATGGCGTACGGGCGGAACTCCACAGGTCACACGCCCGCCCTGGCATGCGCCCCTAACAAAGATGTGGCCGACTGCCTGGCCCTAATCCTGGCCACGATGATGCCCCTGTGTCCGGGGCTGGGCAGCCCCGCCCTGGGCCTTGGCGCCCTGTGCCGCCGTTCGGGGAGCCTGAGCCCGCTGAAAAGCGCGCTCTACTCCGCCGCCGAGGAGACGTACAACGGCGCGGGAATTCTCGGCGTGGCCGCGTACGCGCGTGCCGTTGGTAGCGTAGCCTGCGGCGGCGGCGGCGGTGGTGACGGCGGTGGCGTTGACTCGTACGCCGGCGCCACTGACGATTACGATGACATCGTCGACTCGGACTCTGAGACGTACTGAGCGCGACGCACGCTGCCTCTGCTCTACCCACCCCCCCTACTGCTTCCCAACCACCCTCCCCCTCCTCGCGCTTTGTGATTTACCCCGGCCGCCTCCTCCCGCGTGGACTCGACTTAAACCTCCGCCGTTCTTTCGCCGCTTCCCCCCGGGGGTCATCGTCACGGCGCTCCGACTTTTGCCCACGGACGCCGCCGCCGCGTGAAGCGATCGGCTCCCTGCAGCGTCGTGCGTTTAGGGACCTCCGCCCAATTCCTTTTGGCGCACCTCCCATGGCCGCGCTGTTTGCGACCGCTCCTGCCCCTGCTGCCCCCTGGCTCTAGGTGGCAGGCAGGAGCGAATCCGCTGCGTTGGGCCACGTGTCGGCAAAGTCACGACGCGGCACGATCCGACGGTATCGACGAGCGGCGAAGACGGTGGCGACGGTGGCGGCAAACAGCGGCTGCGTCCGTGAGCCCAGCGCTGTCGCGATGACATTCCACTCGACGTTCAAAGAGCCGCGGCTTCTGGCCGACAGTGCTTCCCGTCGATTTAATTATTTTCTTTTTTACCGGAAATGTTTAACCGTTTTGGGTGCGTGCGGAGTTCTGGGAACGAAATTGCCGATTGTACCATACGTGTGTAAATACGAAACGGAAAAAGAGAGTGTAGATTTAAAAACCACTATTTAATTAATTCGGGCACAAGTTAGGAAAGGTACTGCGTTGTATATGAAAATGAAGGAGCGGAATTTTTTGCAGCGTTGTCGATATTTATTGATGAAAATACGTGAAACAGGGTCTGGTGCGTACGTACGAAACTGTAGCCTCTACTCCGTTTGTGGCCAAAACTTCCCGTGCCGTGTTTAACGTGTTTCGTGGTGACGTGAAGGCCGTCTGCCGCCAATGAAGGCTTCTTGAAACCGAACCACTGGGGTCTCGACATAACATATTTAGCAAAAAGCACCAACAGATCGAAAGGTTGGGCCGTACAACTAGATTGGCTTTTTTTTCAGCATCCCGCAGCCGCGCATTGGCTAAACATTCCAAGGTGGAAACTGGGGGACAAAAATCATCATTGGCACGTGGGAGATAGAAAATAAAAAAATGAAATGAGCTGCTACTTGTGTTACCACCATTTATTTTAAAAATTTGTTTCTTAGAGAACTGCTTAGAGAACTGTCTTTCCCCCGCACCTCCGTATTCTGTGAATCCTCCGTATTCTGTGATTGCCTCCCTCATCTTTACCTGCAGTAGCACGAGCGACCTTATCGTAGATTGCATCCTCCCAGCAATTTGTATCTTATAAATTATGCATATTAGGGTTACGCTTACACCACATCCTCCCCCCCCCCCCACACCTCCCTTCCACCCCCCATGGGAACTTTTATGAGTATAAAATGCCGCGTCTTGTCTTCTTTGTGCTGAATTGTCCTTGCTTTGCAGTTACGGTTGAAGGCGTTTGCATGAGATGTGTGTCCCGTCTCTCTGGCCGTAATGAAGAAATAACCCAGGGCAAAAACGACTTTGCAAAGATGAAAATTAGTTTTTGTTTGCCCAAGACATCTTAAACGTCAGCTTCCAAACAGCCTCTTCGCATGGTTTACCCTGAGAATTTTATGTTGACGCGTATCTCGTAAATGTCTAACCGGAGATCCGTAATGAGGATTTCTGCATGAAACTTCGATAGGACTTCTACTCTTCGTTGACATGTACGTGAAGTAATGTTTGCGTGTCTCAAGTTTACGGAGAGGCGAGTGTCTTTTTGTTCGTGCCGCTGCCGTGTGTGCGCTTGCTTTCCCCCTGCCCCGGGTTTGCGTTGCATTTCTGAGCCCCCCTCCACCTCCCTCCTACCCCCCCCCCACGGATGATAACGCCGCTGTCGATGGATGTCTGACGTAGACGCCTCCGAGGCCAAGGACTGACTTGAGGCTTGAAACAATTCGCCGCCGGAGCAGAACGGGAGCAACCTCGAAGACGCAAGATACCTCCGCTCACGGCACTTGCCCCCAAAAGTCTGTTGAGGCTATATGGTGGTTCTTTGACTTTGTACGTGTGTGTGCGCGCGTGTGTGGGATGGTTTAAAATTTGTGTTGACGTAACTGGTACCGCAAGGAATAACTTGAAGACGACTGTTTGCAAATGCTCCACGTAAGCTTCCGCGTCCCACTTTAGATCCCCGCACACGATCATACGTTCCTTTTATTTACGGCGCGCAGAAAAAGATGCTCCATTTCACTCGCGAGTCGGAGCAGGAAGCCGCGGTGACATCCGCACGGTGAAAGCCCACTTCAGTTCTCAAAGCCCGGCTTCTGTTGGAGACCGTTTCGGAAACGGCCTCCTGTTTACGCCTCTCATTTGCACACCGGTTGGCGTGGGAGGGGGGGGGGGGCGGTGGGGGGTGATTTGACTCGTAAGAGAACCGTCGCGTGGCGTCGATGCGCCGACGGTCGGGATGTCACGCGAACATTTTTGAGAGCCAGATTTTCTTTTCTTACTTTTTTTTACTTTTTTTTTAACTAAAGACAACCCAAAAAGATCAACTGCTCAGCCCCGTTGTGGACATGTAACTAGGCCTATGAGCAACGCGCCCAGAATCCGCCCGATCTCATCGATTCTCGGAAGCTACAGCAGGGTTGAGCCTGGATCGTGCTGGGATGTTTGACCGCCATGCGTGATAGCTGTGCCGGGCTTAGTGGTGGTGTTGTACTCTACTGTCTATGCTCCCGCGTCTATCCCTCCCGTCATTCACTGACGGGCATGGCGTGGTAGGATCGCACGTGCCGTGGCTATGTACGCAATCCGGCTGTGTCATGGGATGTCTGCCACGAGTTTGAAGCATCCATAATGAGTATATAGAAAGTCGTCAAATTCACTTTCCCGTGTGCCTCCATAGAGGTCTCTGAAACATCGCTGCTTCTCTTGTAAAGGACTGTACCGGGAGTGACATCGTCAGTGCCACGATGACTTACTTGATCCTAATTTAATGAAAAAAACTAAAATTTACGGAGCTACAAACTCCTGTCGGATGGATACATCGTCAGATAAGAGCCGTTCTCAAGTTCGTGCCGATTGTCTCTAAACCGGATCAGACCCCAACGTTCAACCAGACCGGGGTGGGGGGGGTGGTTACTTGACTTGTTGCGAGAAACGCCGCGTAATTGGTGAATGGACGCGAGTTCACGTGGCCCCCCCTGGGACACCCCTCCTTTTGACAGCCAGGAGGTTGGATTTTAACCGTGTAAGTTTAGCGGCTAGACTCATTCCTGAAAGGTGCTGCGTTAAGGCAAAACCATTTCTCCGTAAATAATGCAACGGTAAACGTTTGGCGAGATGCGATGTGCTCCTGCTCCGCGCACACAGCTGGCGAGGGAAACAACAGTGGGTCCGCCGCAGTGCTAATCGGTCATTCCGTGTACCGGATCACTACCGCAAAGCACACGCAAGCTCAAGAAAGTAGTTTCTCGTCCACCGCTCGGAGCGCCGTTATAACGGGGAGCGCGTTGTAACGCGTCCCCGTTATAACGGGGAGCGCGTTGTAACGCGTCCCCGTTATAACGGGGAGCGCGTTGTAACGCGTCCCCGTTATAACGGGGAGCGCGTTGTAACGCGTCCCCGTTATAACGGGGAGCGCGTTGTAACGCGTCCCCGTTATAACGGGGAGCGCGTTGTAACGCGTCCCCGTTATAACGGGGAGCGCGTTCCGCGTAGTGTCAAAATCGTTCCCTCGTGGAAGAACAGCGTAGTAGCGAAAACGCGTTATAGTGTTAACAAGGGCACGTGAAGCGAGGGCTTGCCGTAACGACGAGAAAGTGAAGAGCGGACAAAGCCCCCCCCCCCCTTCTCACTTCTTCTGTTGGGTTGAGAATCGCTGCAGGAGGGGCTGCGTAAAGATAGGGAGGTCACCGGTGTTGGGGTTATTGCTAGCGGGTGGTTGGCTCGTGTGGTTAGTTAGGTTCAGTGCAAGTTGATTTGGCTAGCAATGTTCGTGTGTTGAATTTCTTTCGCGCCGTACGAAGCCAACCGTGCTCATCGGAGGTGCGGCGGAAGGACAAAAACGAAACACAAAGTAGTTTAAAACTAGAATTATGGTTAGAGATCGTGTTCAGGGCGGGTTTGTTTAATTGGTTCGGGTTACGGGTCTGGAGTGTGGTTGGCTAATGTGGTTCGGGCGAGTTTAATGGTCTGTTGGCGAGTGCGGTTAGTATTAGAGTGAGGGGGGGGGCTAGTGTTTGCTAGGCTTGCATAGTTAGGGCTGGGGTTAAAGTGTTTAGTGGACTAGCGTGGTTTATGGCTCGGGCCGGTGTTTGTCTGACGACGACTACATGTGGCTACTATCAGGGGTAGGACTTAGTGGTTAGGGATGGGCTGGTTGTCAGTAGGCGAATGGTTCGGGACTAGTGTTTGTTTAGCTAGCTGGTTAGTGTTGAGTTTTCGGCGGTAGGGCCAGGCTGTGGGTTAGCTGTCAAGCGTCACGGCTATCGCCTGCCCATTCCCCCCCCCCACTACCAGGTTCTTTTCAATATTTTTGCTCGCTTATCACTCAACTCTCCGTGTCACGAGGGGAGGGGGGGGGGGGCTTCGAGTGTGAACCCTCGGTTCGTGGTCTGCGACGTCGTTGCACTGCTGCTGCTGTATTTATAGCAACAACAAAAAACGAGACTCGAAGTTTGCATGGACCAGACCTGACCTCCCCCCCCCGCACTTTGCACGACGTCGTGCTTTACGACTGCTGTAAACAACTGTAGCGGGTGGGTGGGGGGGGGACCCTGGCAAAAAACCCCGCTGCCAACACAAACCCCGTGTGGCTACTGCTATACGACGCACGGACAGACCCTGACCGCGTGCGCGACTTGGGTAGTAAGGCCGCTTGCTGTTTTGTTGAGGTCGGGGCATCGGGTGGTTGAACACGTTGACCCACAAAGGACAGACCTCAACTCACACCAGCCCCCCCCTCCCCTCCAGTAAATGTTCTGAGTATTCCCATTGTGTTTGTTTTAAGGTATCGAGAATTTGAAATGAACGTGACCCCGCCGTCTCCAAGACCCTGTCCGAAAAATCAGGGTGGGGGGCGGGCGTGCTGTCATCGCTGTGCACAGGAGCAGGGGAGCAATTTTATTTTCTCGAAGGGGACCGGAGGGTTTGCTGTGCCCCCCCCTCCACCCCCCCTTTTTGCCGGGGATAGCAGGCCACGTCACGTGGCAGGAGGCAGCCGGACCAATGGTTTTTGAAACTCCACAACGGTTTTAGGGGTTGAGTCAACTCTCGATTAAATAATCCAGCGTGCAGACGGCGATGAAACGAGCAACCCAGATAATGCAAAGTAAAGTGTAAAATGGCAGGGGGGGGGGCCCGATGGGAAATGTGTTTTTATTTAACTGCGTGAGTTGAGTGGTGGTGGGGGGGGAGACTGTTAAGAGGTGAGTGTCGTTTGTTTTCTAAGCCATTGGTTTACTTTGCCCACGCGGTTTGCGATCATTGCTTCGTCACTGAATCGCTCACCCTCGGACGAGTGAGCGAGCAGCCGGCGAATGAACCGTGGTAGGCGCGGTTGCCCCCATCAACACTCGGTCGGTCGGTTCACAGAAAACTGAGAGTTGACCTTATTCGCAAGTGACGGATTCTAGTCGCTCGTAGGTCAGACGTGCAAGGGTAGTTCTTAATCGGGGCTACCTCATTCGGACGCTTGATGTTTTATCCAAAGCACGTATTGGCATGCTGCTCGGCCAGGAATGATTACTACGTGGCTTCTTGTGTTTGTTTATATATTGCAATTCAATCAGAGTAGCGGAAAAGCTTCGCACAATCCCAGCCAAGGTTGATTCCGTTCAGTCGCCGCCGCCACCACCACCATCATCCCAATCATCATCGCCATGTCCACTGAGCCTTCTTAGTGTCATTGAAATAAACCATTTATCTCAATTCCATTCATCATCATCATTATCACCGTCGTCACTGCCATTCCATTGTGTGTCATACAGCAGGGCACATGTTGAGACTACCTATACAGTTTAGTGCACGGAAATTCAGCTCTGGTCTGTCCGATGTGAGGCTGGTCCCCGTCAAAGGAACGTGGAATTTCACAGCACTGGCTTCAGGACCAACAGTGGAGATGTTTGTTCAAAGACAACCGACTCTTGTTTCACGACCCACCCCCGGTCTGTTTTAAAGAGCAGCAATAACTTGCGATAAAAAAAATGTTGCGTGAATGCTGGCATTTGCCAAGTACATAATTCCGCGTATACTGTATATATGTTCGTTAGGAAAGAGAGCGTTTTTGAGAGGAGCAGTTTGAAAAGGAAACCCTTTGACATGTGACAGTGTGTGCGACTTTGTGTGTGTGTTTTGCACTGGTCAACAGCCAATTATCAGCAAGCCAATTTAGCGCAATGAATTTCTCCCGTTTATTGTTATTATGATGATCGTTTGTTATTTAATCAGTGGACACATTTACATTTTTTTTGGGATGCTCTATAATCTGTCCAATCGCGTGTATACCCGGGGGGAGGTTTGAGAATGCGCTTTTGAGAGCCGCCGTTTCTAAGTGGCGCCGTCAATGCCAACGATTTAAAAACGTGAACAACGTAAACACGGAGGCCCCCCCCTGACAAAGCAGCAGCAGCAGAGATTAAAGGTGGGTGGGAAGGGAAGGTGGGTTGGTTACTTACTGTCAGTGGTCATATTGGTAATCCTGACTGGTTGGTTAGAGTTGTGGTTCAAGGGAGTGCTGGTCGTACTCGTGACTGATTGGCTGCTGTGTTCGGGTCAAAGGGAGGGCTTCTCCTGGCTGGTTGTCTCGTGGATTAGGGTTTCGTGGAAGAGCTGGCTGGCATTCGTGGCTAGTTGGTTCGAGTTAGGGATGGAGAGAGAGCTGGTACTAGTGGATGTTTTGTTAGTGGGAGGGCTCGTAACCGTGGCTGGTTGATTAGAGAGTGGGCGAGTACTCGTGCCTAATTGGCGAGTGGATTGGGGCAAATGGAAGGCGAGCAGGAGTTGCTGCTTGGCTATTGGGTTAGGCTCATTGGGAAAGGCCAGGACTAGTAGCTACTTGGTTATGTTTAGTACTAGTGGCTGGGTCACTCGTGTATTGACTAAATATGCTCATCCCCCCCCCTCCCCCTAAACTGGCGTGCTCTCATCCCCATTATAAAGTAGGTCATGTTCAACGTTTGGCCGGTTTTCATTTTTCATTTTAACAGTGCCTAACCCAACCATGAGTCTCATCCTAAAGAACCCGGCGGTCCATTATTGATGTTGAGTTCAGGTCTGTGTTGGGTCGCAAAGTTGAATTTTAAACTGAGGAGCCATTCCTCCTGTTAATTCACAGCGTGTTCTCAAATCTTTTAAGCCTCCCCTCGTATAATTTGAGTGCCTTCACGTCCGCTTGGTGCCGTAAGTAAATGATCTTTTGGCCAATTTGGTGCAGACGTAAAGTCATTTGTCGAACCTACGAACAGTTGAGCATATGGATTGTTGGTATTGGTGTTATTGTTTTTTGTGTTAAGGATTACTGTCTGGAAGGTACTAAATAAAACCTGTGTTCATTCTTATAATCACTGTTGTAATACAATGCGAGTATCATTTAGCATGGGCTAAATGTCAGCCATCTGATATATCGGGCATTGCAAAAAACATACCCCGTGAAATTATAAAGAAAAATAAACGTCTTGTTTACAAGTTGCACACTTTCTATGGCTTGCCCTCTCAATGTGTGGTGTCATTCTTCTAACTACTCCCCTCCACGAACTCCGGCCTCTCACTCCCCTTCCATTCACTCTCCGACCTATCATCTCTCTCTACTCCCATCCACACACTCTCCTACCTCTCATCTCACTCTACTCCCCTCCACTCTCATCTCATTCTACTCCCCTCCACACACTCTCCTACCTCTCATCTCACTCTACTCCCCTCCACACACGCTGCTGCCTCTCAACCCCCGTCACTCTACACTCGCCTCCCGCACACGTCCGATGAACACGGTTGGCTACGTACGGTGCGAAAGAAGACCAACATCCATAAACGCACACTCTGGCAACCAACGCTTCCTTCTGAAGCTCCCAGTCAAGCGTCCAGTCAAATGTCTACGCGCTGGGAAGGTCGCCCCAACTCGAACTCGCTTCGCCCAGCCACCCGCGTTGTCGGCTCGTGCCCTCCCCCCTCAAGTCCAGGCATAGCGCCTCCTCTCTGACTTTGTGAGTCCGTCTCCATAACGTCGGCATGCCCGACTGTGTCTGCACGGCGTCTTTAAGATGCGATGCCATTGTGACGTGGCACTCCGCATTGCGCTGACGAGTGCATGCCGGTGTCGCGTCTCTCATCCAACACGCGTTGACTCAGCGCCGCCTGGCGATCGAGCAGCAGAACCGTTTACAAGCCGCACCGCATTTAGTGCCCGATTATCCTCGTAGCAAAAGTAGCTACATATGCTACGGGCCCGAAATAAAAAACATTAAAACACAATGTTTTAACTTGTATAGGAAAGTAATTGTAATTTTTTTTTTCATTTGCTGTACAGCCCAGATAATATGACAAATCGCTAACCTTAAACACCCAGTCCGTAAAAGTTGAAGGCAGTATAGTACTGTAGTAATAGAGCAAGTGCAGTCACCGAACCGGAATTGATAGCTTGAAAGCATTTAGCGCGGGGCCCTTGAAAGTGCGGGACCCGTAGCATTATGTAGCTACTTGTGCTACTACGATAATCTGGCACTGCCTCAAGGTGATTTGGATGCGACTATAAATAACTTCGTGTGATGATGAACCCGCTTCGATTCGCCGTCATGTGTGGCCAGGTCGCCTCTGGAAAAAAGGGGCTCATTGGCTTTACCTGGTAAGATACAAACAGTTTAGTAGCGAGTGTGACGACTGTCTTACCGAGGCTTTCATCCAGCAGTGGATTTACCATGGGTGATGCTGAACACAAACTTCATGATACGTTGTGTTTAGGCTAACGGACCAAGCTGTACAAATTGTATATCACAAAAAAAGATATGAACTTTCTTGAACGGAGTAGCTAATTTGAATGTTATTTTTTGTATGTGCTATGAAGAAGAGCCATTGCCCTAAACGTAGCCGAGGTGAGATTTTTTTTTATATTCATGTCACCGTTGTTTTGGCGAAGGTGAGTTTAGTTCGATCAGTAACTAAGCTCATAATCAACGTTTTTGGGTTTAGATCGCGTTATTTATAATGTGTCGTAACCCTCCACATTTTTTAATTTTTTTATTTTTTTACCAAGTAAGGCCCACTGAGCTGACAATCACAAATGATAGCTCAAATGAAGTGGCTTATAGTGTGGAAAATGTATAGCAGCCAAATACTCTAAACGCGTGATGTTGATTATAAACGTGGAGGGAAAGACTGGAGGACCCGGAGAAAAATCCACGCGACCACGGGGAGAGAGAGACACACAAACTCCAAATATACAGCAGCAGACGTCAGGGTAGGGATCGAACCCACGACCTCCTGTGCACCAGGCGAGGTAATGGACATATCCTAGCCAACGTGATGATTATGAGAGAGAGACACACAAACTCCAAATATACAGCAGCAGGCGTCAGTATTGGGATCGAACCCACGACCTCCTGCATACCAGGCGAGGCAGTCAACATCTCGCCACCGTGGCATAACGAAGTCACTTGAATCGCTGGTAAGTGAATCACCCATTGCAGACTTCGCAAATAATGACACCGTGCACCCGCTCAGCCAATCCACTGTTGGGTGAAGGCCTGCGAGCCTGTCGGCCTGCC